CTGTCATTGTAAATAATGAGCCGGAGGTTTTACAGCTTTTAAAATACTCCTGGGGATAATGGACTGGAAGTCACTCTGCTCACTTAAAAATAATTTTATAAAGTTCCTTATTTGAGGACAAAATTGGCTAAAAAGAATAGAACATGGTTTGGTCAAATATAATTTTTCAGGCAGCAATTAATGCCAGAGGATGCCGAAATGGAGACCTGGCCTTGTCCTGTGGTTGATCATCTCCTCAGGAAGACAAATGAGATGAGTGCTCCATTGTAGTCCCTGTGCTGTCACGGGGACATGGCATTCTGCCTTTGTTAGGGGGACGGGAAGGAGGGTGAGTTACTATGTATTTGTGTGAGGGAGCATTTCTTTCCAGGAAATCACATGAACAAAAGCTTGGAGACCTCGAGATTTCCAGCTCGGGGACCATGGTTTCCTCTGACTATGAGTACCATGCTGAGAACCTGAGGGGGTTATTAGCCTGGTCAAATAAGATTAGCAGCAGATCTATAGAAATACGTAGATTTGCATTGTAAAGGGCTACTTATGCCTGTTGAAAATGTCAAGCTCCTTTGTATGACTGGAGAGACACAGCCAGGAAAGACTTATATTTTAGGAGTAGAGGGCAGTAGAGGGCAGATTGGAAAAGGGAGATGTTGGTTGGTTGGTTGGTTGGTTGGTTGGTTGGTTGGTTGGTTGGTTGTTTGGTTGGTTGGTTCATTCATTCTTTTTTTCATTCAATAATTGTGTATCTACTATGTGAAAATACCTATTTTAGGCATAATGATAGCTTCTTTAGGGGAGCTTGCTATTAAATGATGAGACATGTAATTTACCAATAAATATAATAAATGAATTGATTGATGGTATGCTAGGGGCTAGTGAATGCTAATAAAGAAGAAAAAGTAAAGGAGCTTGGGCTGGGGAGAGCTTTGTCATTAAGAACACTTACTCTTTCAGAGGACCTGAATTTGGTTCCCAGCACCCATGTTGAGTGCTTACCACTGTCTGTAATTCCCATGCTGGGAATCTGACACCCTCTTCTTGGATAAATTTAAAAAAAAGAAAAAAGGACTAGACTTAGAATGGAGAAAAGCAGTGTACTGGAAAACATGTTTATTTTTTCTTTCATTTTAAAGCTTTTTCATACAAACAAATGACCAGGCTATAATGCATTGCTTGAAGGTGAATGATATTTGTAATTAGTATCGTGGAAGCAGACCAGTTGTTACAGCCAGACCCCTCCACGCTCCTTCTTGGAACTGCAGGTCAGTTTCTCCCTGGCAACCTGACATTTATGCTAATGATCTTACTGCATATGTGTATCTCCTAGTATAGCTTAGTTTTGCCATTTAAAATCGAATGCCTCCACTCCTCAGCTGAGGGCATCTGGGCTGTTCCAGCTTCTGGCTATTACAAATGAAGCTGCTACAAACATGGTTGTGCAAATGTCCTTATTGTGTACTTGCGCCTCTTTTGGGTATATGCCTAGGAGTGGTATGGCTGGATCTTGAGGAAGTGCTATTCCTAGTTGTCTGAGAAAGCACCAGATTGATTTCCAGAGTGGTTGTACCAGTTTACATTCCACCAGCAGTGGAGGATGGTACATCTACACAATGGAGTATTACTCAGCAATGAAAAATAAGGAATCATGAAATTTGCAGGTAAATGGTGGGACCTGGAAAGGATCATCCTGAGTGAGCTGTCCCAGAAGCAAAAAGACACACATAGTATATACTCACTCATATAGACATATAACATAGGATAAACCTACTAAAATCTGTACATCTAAAGAAACTAATCAAGAGAGAGGACCCTGACTAAAACACTCAATTCCCTTCCCGAAAGGCAAAGAGGATGGACACCAGAAGAAGAAGAAAACAGGAAACAGCTTAGGAGCCTGCCACAGAGGGCCTCTGAAAGGCTCTGCCCTACAGACTGTCAAAGTCAATGCTGAGACTTATGGCCAACTGTTGGGCAGAGTGCATGGAACCTTATGTAAGAAATGGGAAATAGTAAGATCTGGAGAGGACAGGAACCCCACAACGAAAGCAACAGAACCAGAAAATTTGAACACAGGGGTCTTTCCAGAGACTCATACTCCAACAAAGTACCAGGCATAGAGATAACCTAGAACCCCTGTACAGATGTAGCCCATCACAGTTTAGTGTCCAAGTGGGTTCCATAGTAATGGGAAGAGGGACTGCCTCTGACATAATCTGATTGGCCTGCTCTTTGATCACCTCCCCCTGAGGGGGGAGCAGCCTTACCAGGCCACAGAAGATGACAATGCAGCCACTCCTGATGAGACCTGATACACTAAGATCAGAAGGAAGGAGAGGAGGACCTCCCCTATCAGTGGACTTGGGGAGGGGCATGCGTGAAGAAGGAGGGTGGAATTGAGAGGGGAGGAGGGAGGGAACTAGAGGGGGGATACAAAGTGAATAAAGTGTAATTAATAAAATAAACTAAAAAATCGAATGCCCTCTAGTCTTTGAAAATATAGGTTTATTTATTTGTGTGTGTGGTATACATGTATATGTGTGCATGCTCCTGTGTGCTCAGGTGCCTGTGCACATGTGTTCATGTGTGTGGCTGCCAGAGGTTGTTGCTGGTGTCTTCCCTAGTCATTCTTGTCTTTGTATACTGAAGCAGGGTCTCACATGAACCTGGATCTCGCTAATTTGGCTACTCTAGCAAGGTAGTTACTTTGGTCTGGGATCACCAGTCATTGACTCTGGAGTCTTGGAAATATGAGCAGGCCTCCATATCTGCCTCGCATTTATGTGAGTGCTGGGGATCCCGTGTTTTGTCTTCATATTCTCACAGCAAGCACTATTCATTGACTCTTCTTTCCAGCCTTTCTTCCTTTCTTTTTCAGATTCCTCATCAGCTAAAGGTTCAGCTGAACCGTTATCTTAGCAGTTCTCCTAGCCTGGACTTTACTGACTGTGAACTCATGCTGCAGCTCACTATGTCCTGCCCTCTATATGTTTGTCAGCTGGACCCCAGGCTTCAGCAGACTCGGGTGTCATGTTTTGGCACAGCTGTTGGTAATAGGGTGTTCTTTCATTGAACAGCACACAATATCTAGGTGTGTCTTCTACAGACTTAATATCTGTGTCTGATCAATGCCTAGAGTCAGCAATTCACTGGGCTGCAAATGTGGTATTCTAACTGGATCTGTTTTACTTATTAGCTGTAATGCTTTAATTTTTATGTGTATAAATTTTTACCCAAATGTATATTCGTGCACCATATATATGCCTGGTGCCGTGGAGGCTACAGGATATCAGAACCCCTCCAGCTGGAGTTACACAGTTGTGAGCTGCCGTGTAGTGCTGGCAACTGAGCTCAGGTCCTTTGTAAGAGCAGCACGTGTTCTTACAAAGTTAAGTGCTGAGCTCTCGCTCCAGCTCATAAGCTGAAATACTTATATTGATTAAAATTTCACTTTTGCTGTTTGGTTCTCACTTGTACAGTTCTTATTAGAAAGACAGGATAAATGTGTTTCTGTTTTTACCAGTTTTTAAGATAATGACTTATTTCTCTATCATACACAACTTGATTACTCTATCCATGATTTTCACTTTAGTGTGCTCTTATTACAAAAGGAGGCCTTGGTTGGTTATACTGTTCCATTTCTTTTATATTTTACACTGGAATAGGACAAACCACTGCAGACTTTAGGCCCTGTTCTATAGTAGGCTCGTTAAGTGTTCTAGAGCAGAGTTGTTGGCTAGTTGGGGGTCTTGTTCTCCCTACACATGATAGCTACCCTGATGGCTTGGCTTCTTGCCACACAAGTACTGACGCTGTACAGGTCGCATGGCTCTTAGATGGTCACAATCAGTTGTATTTTGGGTTTGTGATACATATCACCTAGCTTTGCTATAAATGTTCTTCCTAGAATTTTGTGTTTTTAAAATTAGGTGGTCTATTTCTGTGTGGTAATAAATGAGATTTTAAAAAAGGCTTCAGATAGAGATGATGCAGAAGTTAAGAGGGGTGTACTGTACTTGAGAGAACCCAAATTTTGTCCTAGCAGCTATGTTGGGCAACTCACAACTTCCTGCCATTCCAGCTGCAGGAGGTCTGATGCCTATGGTTTCTACAGGTACCTACACAATGTGCACATACTCCTGCACAGACAAAGAATGCCTACATAACTACAGTAATCCAAAAAATAGTCCACGTAATAAATGTACCTCCTCAAAATGCTCACTGACCCAGCCTTCTCCTTCAGGGGGAGAGGTTGAGCCGTGGAAGAGTAAAGTGCAGTCAGAATAGCTAAATTTGAAATTTCTGACCTAGAAGATCTGGTGGGTGGCAGTTTCCCTGCAGAACATTTAAAGTTTGAGGAAAGGATCAAGGTAGATGGGAATAAGAGCAATCTTTGATTTTGTAGGTTTGAAATGAGCATAAAATACCATGAAGTAATGGAAATATTTTGTCAAGAACTGTGAATCTAGAGTTTCTCAGAGCTGTGTCATGAGTCCCTAACACCCTGAGGATAATCAACTCCATCACAAGTAGGGAAAAATGTTATAAAAACTTTAGTGTGGAGTACAAAGCATTTATCTGAAGATGAAAGAGATGTTAGTAATCAACACTAGTAAATTAAGAGTTTTATAAATAGGCACCACACATATGTTCATTGATCAGCAACTCAAACTGAAAGCCACTGTCCAGATTCACATCACATCAACGGATAAGGTACTGTGGTGTCTGGGTGTAGGTGCCAAGGACTTTGGATATATGAGAAAAGATTGAGCGCATTTCTATTTGGGACTACAGCTAAACATTCTCTGTATTCATAAGCTGTATATCTTGTGTTTTGCATAGGCTGGTATGATGCTACCCTGAATGTAGGTGAGCAGGCCTTCTCTGTGGGGAGCCAGTCCAGAGGAGTCTAAGCTGCTATAACCTCTAAGACCATTACATGTGAACTCAAATGATGTAATTCTTCTGTTTCTCTTTCTTCCTCCCCTCTCCCCAAAATCTAGACCTGCCTTCAGAGACCTGAGATCAGACTTGAATCACTCAAAGAAGATATTAAGGAATTCTTTAAAATATCAGGTTTGTAAAGTTCTCCCCTTACCTTTAACTATTCCCAGACTTTGAGCTACTTCTTTAAAACTGGTGTAACTTGGCTGAGAGGTCTCTGTATGGAAGGATTGAATCCACACATTTTAATAAAATTGTGCAAACACTCAAGGACACTGTAAAAATGACTGCTTTGCAGTCAAAATATGTCCCTACTCAAAATATGTCTCAAGACTGGCAAATATGTTCTTATTTAAGTAGCTTGTCTTTTTACTTCCTGCTATGGCTCTCCTACATTATTTTCTATGCTTTCAAAATAACAAAAAACAAAAACAAACAAAAACCCAAACCAAACCAAAAAGAAAATCTTAATTTTTGTACATGGAGGAACCTGGCATCAGTGCTAGCATATGGGAGCTGGAGGACTAAATGGTAGCTCCTCAGAACACTCTGTTTGTTGGTCAGGAGTTCAAAGACATTTGTGTTCATTTAGCATTTTGACAGTGGAAGAGGGCATTGCTCTCAACCTGAGAAAATGATTCACGTTTTACTTACATAGCAATGGTTAGCAAAATTCTGTCACAAATAACTATGATGCCAACATTTCAGTGAATTAAATTTTATTAAGTTGAACTAGAGAGCTAGCTCAGCAATTAAGAGGACTGCCTACTCCTCCAAGAGACCCTGGTTCGGTTCCCAGCATACTCAGGTCAGCCCACAACCCCTATAATTCTAGTTCCAGATGATCTGGTGCTCTCTTCTGAGATTCACAGGCTCCTGCGTGAATTTTGGTGCACATGTATACATTCAGGCATACACACACATAAAATAAATAAATTTTAAGAAGGTAAAAAGTTACTGTGTTGCTTATGAAACTAATATTTATTTTTTTAAAACTTAAAAACAGGTTGGGAGAAGAAACTTCAGAATGCTGTTTATAGTGAACTGAATGTGTGAGTTTTTTTCATCTATTTTGTTTAACTATATTTACTTTGTATGTAGTAAAATTAGTATTTCTGTCTTTACCTATGCTCTCACTTGTCATTAGTGTACTTACAGGGTTTCAAGTAAGTTAATGTCACAAATCACTACAGTCTAATCTGAAAATGAGTGATGGATAGGTGGTACTTTTCCATAGGGCCAGGTTTGTATATAGAGAATGTATTCATCCAGTGTAATTAGGTAATGAGATATTTCTTATAATGCTCATATTCTTTTTATTGTTGAATTATTATACTTCTTTCTGTTATTGCTAACTGACATAATTTCTAAACATAATTTCTTTTTCTTTGTAAGATTATTATTTTTACTAAGAACCTAATGTTTTTAGTTATCTTGATTTGCCATCAGTGTTTATTAAAGTGTATAGAACTTTTGCTTTCAAAGAATATAGCTCTAGACTGTTAGCTTTGTGGCTTGCTAAGTATACATTGCTTGTTTGCACATTACTTATGGAGTGTTCACTGTGTGCCAGTGGGGTGAGAAGCACTCACGGCATAGGACAGGAAACGAAGCACACATCCTGCTCTCATGACATGTATAAACAGGTCAGCAAGTTTCTGGCTCTCCTATTTTGTTTTACCACTTGATCTGTCCCCAGCATTCTCTAGTTTCTGACATTCCCATTTCCCACATTCTCTGTCCAACCTATTGTTAACTGGGAAATGAGATAGCCTTGTGTAACCAGCTTGTTTGTGAGGTAGGCTCAGATGAAGACCTGTGGATTTATACTTAGTTCTTTTTCTATTGTTGTGAAGAAACTCTGTGACCAAGTCAACTCATAAAAGAAATAATTTAATTGGGGGCTAGCTTACAGTTTCAGAGGGTGAGACCATGACCATCTTGGTGGGGAGCAAGACAGCAGGAGCAGTAGTGGAGAGCCTACATCTGATGCATAGCCCAAGACAGAGAGACGAGACGGAACCAGTGTGGGCTTTTGAGTCCTCAGAGCCTAACTACCCCCACACCCCAGTGCTGCCCCTCTTCCAACAAGGGCAGATCTCTCAAGTCTTTGCACACAGTTCCAAAAACTGGGAACTCAACTTTCAAATAAATGAGCCAATGGGGGCTTTTCTTATTCAAACCACCACACACATTTATATATATATATATATTTAATTTTTATATTAATTACAGTTTATTTACTTTGTGTCCCAGCTGTAGCCCCCTCCCTTTTTCCCTCTCAATCCCACCCTCCTTCTCTCATCTCCTCCTTGCCCCTCTCTAAGTCCACTTATAAGGGAGGTCCTCCTCCCCTTCCATCTGACCCTAGCTTATCAAGTCTCACCAGGATTGGCTGCATTGTCCTCCTCTGTGGACTGACTAGGCTGCTCCTCCCATGACGGGGTGGAGGCGGTCAAGGAGCTAGCCATAGAGTTCATGCCAGAGACAGTCCCTGTTCCCCTTACTAGGGAAACCCACTTGGATACTGAGCTGCCATGGGCTACATCTGAGCAGGGTTTCTAGGTTATAGCCATACATGGTCCCTGGTTGGAGAATCAGTCTTAGGCAAGCGCTTGTGCCCAGATATATTTGGTCCTTGTGGAGCTCCTGTTCTCTCCAGGTTTTACCAAGTCTCTCTGTTTTCATATGATTCCCTGTACTCTGCCCAAAGTTTGGTTATGAGTCTCAGCATCTGCTTTGATACACTGCTATATAGAGTCTTTCAGAGGCCCTCTATGGTAGGCTCTTATTATGCTTCTCATTTTCTCCTACTTTCAATGTCCATCCTATTTGTCTTTCTAAGTAAGGTTTGATCTTCTTATCCTGAGTCCTCCTTCTTGTTTAGCTTCTTTAGGTGCACAGATTTTAGTATGTTTATGCTGTCTTATCTTATAGGTCTATTATCCACTTATAAGTGAATATATACCATGTGTGTCTTTCTGCTTCTGGGATTCCTCACTCAGGATGATCTTTTCTAGGTCCCACCATTTGCCTGCAAATTTCATGATTTCCTTGTTTTTAATTGCTGAGTAGTATTCCATTTTGTAAATGCACCACAATTTCTGTATCCATTCCTCTGTTGAGGGACATCTGGGTTGTTTCCAGGTTCTGGCTATTACGAATAAAACATGGTTGAACAAATGTCCTTGTTGTGTACTTGAGCATCTTTTGGATATATGCCTAGGAGTACCACACACATTTTTAAAATCAGATTTTTTTTTCTTTTTTAAAAAATTATTTTTTTGCTCAATCCCTATCCAGAAAGGCAAAGAGGATGGACATCAGAAGAAGGAGAAAAGAGGGAACAAGTCAGGGGCCTGACACAGACGACCTCTGAAAGGCTCTGCCCTGTAGACTATCAATGCAGATGCTGAGACTTATGACCAACCTTTGGGCAGAATGCAGGGAATCTTATGAAAGAAGGGGGAACAGTAAGATCTGGAGAGGACAGGAACAAGGAGAACAACAGAACCAAAAAATCTGAGCACAGGGGTCTTTCCTGTGACTGATACTCCAACCAAGGAACATGCATGGAGATAACCTAAGACCCCTGCACAAATGTAGCCCATAGCAGGTCAGTGTACAAGTGGGTTCCATTGTAATAGGAACAGGGACTGTGTCTGACATTTACTGATTGGCCTGCTCTTTAATTACCTCCCCCTGATGGGGGAGCAGCCTTACCAGGCCACAGAAGAAGGCAATGCAGCCACTCCTGATGAGACCTAATTGACTAGGATCAGAAGGAAGGAGAGGAGGACCTCCCCTATCAGTGGACTTGGGGAGGGGCATGCATGCAGAGGGTGGAGGAAGAGAGGGATTGGGACGGGAGGAGAGAGAGAATCACGGGGAATACAAAGTGAATAAAGTGTAATTAATAAAGAATTTTTAAAAATCTTATTTAATTAAAAAAAATCTTTTGGTTTCTCATTTCCCCCTTTCCCATGATCATTTGAAGACCCAATCTTGGGTCTTTTCTTGTATCCTATAGATTTACCTTTTTATAATGGGATCTGAGTACCATTAGTGTATTGCTCCCAAACATTTTTTCATGAGAGCCATCAAGCAATTTAAAATACAAGTCCCAAAGATAAAAATCAAAATGAGTAGGGGTCCCTTCAGGGTAGATATAGGGATAGTAAGCCAAAGAGAACTATTATCCCTTTTCTCTAGTATCTCTCTAGGCTTTTAGCCCAGTTGCTGAAATATTAGTTCCCATTTCAGCTAAGCATATGCCCAAGATAATAAATAGCTAATGCCAGGGAACCAGCCCCTTTTGACTTAGCATTTCAGCCTACTAGGTGGGATTTGGGCAAAGATCCATCTTCTGGAGCTTCTTCAGTTCTAACAATTGGACCGTTGGCATCAGAGGCTAGGGAGGCTGAAATGCCAGTCAAAGGCTAGGCAAAGGGGCAGTCCTCAGAAGCGTCTGGTTAGTTGATCCACCCGAAGAGGCAGGGAGCAATCATGTCAGCTTCCAGGAAGTCCAGATTTCAGCTTGCAGTCCATAGCTGATCCTGGAACAGAGTCAAGCAGGTGAAAATCTGCTAAGACAAGTTTAGACTGGAGACAGAAGTTAAAATTTCCCTATTAAATGGGAAAAGTGAGGAATCCCAAGACCAGAGAAAAACTCATGTGGGGTCTGTTTGAGCTATGCCAGATCCAGGTCACATAACTTTTTCATTTCCTGAAACTCATATGAATTTTTAATACACAAAAGGAAATATATAATTAAAAAAAAAACTGAAAAAAGGATCTTCAAATGATCATGGGAAAGGGGGAAATGAGAGACCAAAAGATTAAAAATCAGCAGTTATTATTAAAGTTTAAGGCTTGAACTCAGGCTAGCTGGGTGGAGAAGTCCAGTAATGCCGTGAGGGGAAGAACCCACCTTGCTTTGTTCTTTCCCCACCCACTAGAGATACAATTGCTAGGAAACTGGCCCATTCCTCTAGGGAGGGACACCAGATCATTAATGGTCTGGGGACCTTCCTATAGCCAATCAATTCAAAATGCAGCATTTTGACCAATAGATGCTTGCCAGGCAGGAATCACCCCTGCCATACTAGGAGCAACCAGAATCTTTAAATCACCCAACTAACCTGAGCATGAGGCTCTTGGCTCTCACCGCTTCAGTGGTGGCGGGGGGTGGTGAGTCCAAGCTGCAGCTTGTAATGATTTACAATAAAAGATCCTCATGTGGTTTGCAATGTCCTTGTTGTATACTTGAGTATCTTTTCGATATATGCCTAGGAGTGGTATAGCCAGATCTTGAGGTAGCAGTATTTCTTATTGTCTGAGAAAGTGCCTGATTGATTTCCAAAGTGTTTGTACAAGTTTATATTCCCACTTGCAATGGAGGAGGGTTCCCCTTTCTCCACATCCTCTCCAGCATGTGTTGTCACTTGAGTTCTTGATCTTAGCCATTCTGATGGGTATAAGGTGAAATCTCAAAGTCATTTTGATTTGCATTTCCCTGATAGCTAAGGATGTTGAGCATTTCTTTAAGTGTTTCTCTGCCATTCGATATTCCTCTATTGAGAATTTTCTGTTTAGCTCTGTACCCAATTTTTTAATTGGATTACTTGATTTGTTGCTGTTTAACTTCTTGCATTCTTTATATATACTGGATATTAGCCCTCTGTCAGATATAGGGTTGTTGAAGATCCTTTCCTAATCTGTAGGCTGTTATTTTGTTCTGACAACAGTGTCCTTTGTTTTATAGAAGCTTTTCAGTTTCATGAGGTGTCATTTATTTCATTGTTAATTTTAGAGCCTGTGCTGTTGGTCTTCTGTTCATAAACTTGTCTCCTGTGCCAGTGAGTGAAAGCTCTTCCCCACTTTTTCTTCTAACTGGTTAAAATTAGATTTTAGTGTTTTGCCTATGACCGTCTTCCAAGTTGGTCTTTGAATATACGTGCTATCTATTATTGAAATTGACTTCAACGATATCTTTAGAAGTTTTGGCCATCAAAGTTTGATGTTTGTTATGATGATCAAAATGCTAATTCACACAGTATAGTAGAGATACCTGTTGTGCATTATTTCCAATTATGACCTTTTAATCTGATATTTTACTAACAACTTCTATTTTCGTGATCTAGTGCATTTCTGGAAATAGTTTTATATGGCAGACTGTCTTTTTAGCTGATGGCAAGGACTATCTTTCAACCATTGTCATACCTTCAATACACTACACAGTGCAACTTTATATATTTTTTAATAACTAGTTGAGATTCTGTAGGAGCTCATTAATACTGCCTTTCTTCTTTTTTGAGTTCTGAATAAAAGGAGAAAAATGATAAAACAGAATGGGAGCTGATACAATGAATAAAATGATGATAAAGCAGAAGTGAGAGCTCAATTTCAGACTTTTGTTACTGATAAAGACTGAGCCAGAGAGATGGCTCTGCCATTAAGAGCACTGCCTGGTAAAGACTGAGTAGACATATGCACATAAAGAAGCTCACATACATGTAAGCACACACAGAGTTCATTTATTTTTTTTAAAGAGCAAATAAAGACCATAGGTTATCTCTAACCTGAACTCCAGGATTAAATGGTCTTAAAAATCCAGACAAACAATTACTTAAATGGTCTGCTCTGGTTTAAATGTCCCCTCTAAAGTTCATGGGTGGAATGTACTTTCCACTGTAATAATACTGACGGCTGAGCCCCTTGAGAGCCATTAGAGCACAAGCGCCTTGCCCTTACAGGTGGACTGGAGACACTGTGAAAGGCCAGGCTTGGCTCTTTTCCCAGTGAGCCTCTTACCCTTTATCACCAGGTAATACAGGAGTAAGGCTCTCTCCAGATGTGCTCCAGTACTGTAAGCCAGTGTGCTTCTGTTCTTGACTGATTACATTTTGTCTGGTGTGGTTTTGCACATCTGTAATCCCAGTGGTTGGGAGGCAGAGGCAAGACCAGTTCAAGGCCATCCTGGTCTGTATAGGAAGTCCTAGGCCTGCCGGGGCTACCCAGTAAGTCCCTGCATGAAATACAACACAAAAACATTGCCCATTACTAGGATGGTATAATTAAAGAATTTGTTAGACCTTGTACATGCAAATGAACTATTAACAGATTCTCTATCTGTAGCATGGACTGCAGAGTTAGTAACTTCTCACCATGTTAATTCAGTATCGAGAGCTCACCATGCCATTTAGCTGCCTTTCTCTGCTTCCAGGTACCCTTTGCCCAGTCACCCTTCCGCTCCCCCTGAGCATCTCAAAGAGCCCTTGGTGTACATGAGGAAAGCACAGGTTGGTCACTGTCTGTTTGCTTCTGTTTTCTTCTTGCATGCCAAGTAATGTAGTGTAGAGTATATTCTTATTAGCATAATATATTTTGGATCATAGAAAGACTGGGTAAGAACCTCTTCAGTAATAATGACGCTTGTACACTCTGCCTTTTTATTTTCAGTAATCAACATTCATACCTATTTAGTTATAGTAATATATATAGTAATATTTAATAGATACTATAGTATATAATATATATTATATGGCATATTACTATTTTGCTAATGTAGTAATATATAATACCTATGTAACCCTGGAAAACATTACATAGAAAGAAAGGGTCATGTACCATACTGGCCTGAAGTTTGAAATGGGGTAATGCCTTCTTTTACAATCTACTCCTCAAGGCCAGTGAATTTAAATGAATGAACTCTAGATGAATTAACACATTAAAAACAAACAAAACACCAAATAAATAAATAAATAAAGAAGTATGTAACTAAATCCCTAAAACAACAACAACAATAAAAACCCTCTGTCCAGCTGGGTGCCATGGTGTACGCCTGTAATCCCAGCACTCAGGGAGACAGAGGCAGACCAATCTCTGTGAGTTCCAGACCAGACTAGTCTGTGAAGTGAGTCCAGGATAGTCATGGGTGCACAGAGAAACCCTGTCTCGAAAAACCAAAAACCAGCCAACTAACCAACCAACCAAACAAACAAATATCCTCTGTCCTTTGAAGTCAGTTTTACTGACACCATATTTAAAAATATATTTACTCTCACAGCAGGCTGTCACTGTTCGTTGGCTGACAACAAGGAAGAAACCATTTTTAAAAATTAATAAAACAAGCTAGACACAAAAAATGCAAGAAGACATTCACATTTAAAGCGAGAGAGTCTGTCATGTTTTCCCATCTCTCTATGTTGTCCTTTACTGGACACAGCCCAGCCACCTCCCTGGCACAGCAATGCTTGTGAAGAAGGTTCACAAGTTCTTTTGAGTGCTGGATGAGACTGTGGAACCATCACAGCCAGAGATGGGTTCTTCTCTCTAGCATGGCCCCAGAAAATTAAAATTAAAATTTTTATTATGAAAAGTTCAAATCATTCCTACAGAAATTCTGTGCATGTAACCCTTTGCTCACGCAGTCATGGTGGTTTATGTTAGCAAGATTCTGTTATTTTCATAAAAAAAAACCCCTCCAATTTAGATGATTATAGAGACAGTATGACCGAGATAATGGAGATTTGAAGGAAATATGTAATATACTTATTCTAAGTGGTATCTCTAGGGTCAAATGATATTTATCTATTTGTATAAAAATTTATGTATTTGTATAAAAGCACAAATAGGTAAATATGTTCATGAAAGAATTGTGTGGCTTTTGTTATGCAGAATTAAACTAAAAAAAAAAGAAATATGGAAAGTTAAGGTCTAAATATTTTTTGGATTGTTTTTTTCCTTGAGACTATGTAAGTCAGTAGCCTAGAACTCAGTGACCTCAAACTCAGAGGGATCCATGTGCTTCTCTGCCTCTATCGTGCTGGGATTAAAGGTGTGTATCATCATGCCTGTGTAGATAAAATAATTTTAATCACAGGATCTTACTACTTATCCCTTGCTGGCTTGTAACTCACTATATTGGCCAAACTAACTTCAAATGCAGTGAGCTGCCTGCCTCCGCCTCTAAAGTGTTGAGATTAAAAGTCTTTACCCCCATTCTCAGCAGAAAATTTTAATTAATTAATATAGAAAAATCATGTTTTATCTTATTAGAGCCTTAAAGCTGCCAGTCACCGACTCTGACTGATAGCATTTTATTCTGCATATGAATGAATGGTTTTCTTTCCAGATGCAGGACTTGGCACACAATAGCTCCTAGGTTCTTGGCTGAATGCAGCCTGCCTCCTACTTTTTAGAGCTAGCAAAAGGGTGTTTTACAAGTGTTTTTGACTGGTTGCAAAACGAATTAAGAATAATATTAAGAACTGTATTGTATACATCAGAAGAATAGCTACAATGAAGACTGAAAAGATAAACACTGGTGGAGGTTGTGACAGCCTGAGTTCAAATGCTGTCAACACTGAGGTAAAGCCTGGCAGTTTCATAGAAAAACAAACCTGTGTACTATGGCCACAAAGGGCATCCCCAGTCAGAATAAGGAAGTTTAATGGGGAGTTTACAGGAAGAAGTGTGAGGGAGTTTGCTGTGGATGATCATCAGTGTGTTAGGTATGGTTTAGGCTGTACAGATATGTGTACTTGTTTGAGCCACACCTAGATGTATGCATTTTTATGTAAATTAGATACAGGCCGAGGTAAAAATGGTCAACTGTTAATGCTGGTGTATATATGGATATCTAACTGAATTACTTTTTTACCTTTTATGTGTGGAATTTGTTTTTGTCAAATCTGTAAGCAGTGAGAAAAATAAATCTTATAGCACAAGAAAATGATAGGAATTAAAAAAATACATTTTTGGAAATAGTCATGTTTAATCATCTATATATTATCTCTGACCCTTTTTGCACTGCAAGAGTTAAATAATTGCAATGGAGAGCCTGGGACCTATAGAGCCTAAATATTTACCTGTCCAGTTGCTCCAGTGTTCACTATCTTAAGAGCATCTCTCCCAGCACCCATCATAGCACTTAGCCTAGAGAACTTCTGAATAAGTATTGGCTGAATTAACCGGTTTCTTTATTTTTTAATTAAGCTTTTTAAAAATTATACCATGTGTGTCTTTCTCCTTCTGGGATACCTCACTCAGAATGATATTTTCTAGATCCCACCATTTGCCTGCAAATTTCATGATTTCCTCATTTTTGATTGCTGAGTAGTATTCCATTGTGTAAAAATACATTAATTTCTGTATCCATTCCTCTGTTGATGGACATCTGGGTTGTTTCCAGCTTCTGGCTATTACAAATAAAGCTGCTACAAACACAGTTGAGCAAGTGTCCTTGTTGTGTACTTGAGCAACTTTTGGATATATGCCTAGGAGTGATATGGCTGGGTCTTAAGGAAGCACTATTCCTAATTGTCTGAAAAAGTGCCAGATTGATTACCAGAGTGGTTGTACCAGTTTACATTCCCACCAGCAATGGAGGAGGGTTCCCCTTTCACCACAACCTCTCCAGCATGTGTTGTCATTTGAGTTTTTTATTTTAGCCATTTTGATGGGTGTAAGGTGAAATCTCAGGGTCATTTTGATTTGCATCTCTCTGATGGCTAAGGATGTTGAGCATCTGTTTAAGTGTTTCTCTGCCATTCTGTATTTCTCTACAGAGAATTCTCTGTTTAGCTCTGTACCCCATTTTTTAATTGGATTACTTGATTTATTGCTTTTTAACTTCTTTAGTTCTTTATATATTCTGGATATCAGTCCTCTGTTAGATATGGGGTTGGTGAAGATCCTTTCCCAGTATGTAGGCTGTTGTTTTGTTAAAAATTATTATTATTTTTATTAATTACAGTTTATTCACTTTGTATCCCAACCTGTAGCACCCCTCTTCCCCTCCCAACCCAACCTTTCCTTCCTCTTCTCCACCCATGCCCCTCCCCCAGTCCACTGATAGGGGAGGTCCTCCTCTTCCTCCTGATCCTAGTCTATCAGGTCTCATTAGGAGTGGCTGCATTGTCTTCCTCTGTGGCCTGGTAAGGCTGCTCCCCCACAGGTGAAGGTGATCAAAGAGCAGGCCAATCAGTTGATGTCAGAGACAGTCCCTATTCCCATTACTAGGGAATGCTCTTGGATACTGAACTGCCATGGGCTATGTCTATGTAGGGGTTCTAGGTTATGTCCATGAATAGTCCTTGGTTGGAGTATCAGTCTTAGAAAACACCCCTGTGTCCAGATTTTTTGGTTCTTCTTAACTATACATTTGGAATGTCTCTTTCTATTAGCCAGGCCTTTGTCACTGTGTTAATTGCCTGAGGGAATCACTTCAAAAGAAGGGGAGATTTATTCTGGCTCACAGTTTTGAGAGGTTCAGTCCATGGCCCACAGCTCCATTGCTTCTGTGCATCATTGGGGCAGAGCACTGGTGGAAGGATGCAAAGGAACAGATATGTTTATGGCTTGGTGGACAGAAAACACGGGGAAGGAGAAGGACTGGGGATGAGATATACCTTTTCAGAACAGATTCTCAGTGACCCCGTTCCTCCAGCTAGTCTCTAGCTTACACTTTCACCACGTCCCAATATTATCATAGTGTTATGAGTCTTTTAAGGGAATAATCCATCCATAATCTCAGAGGTCTTATGATCCATTCACTTCAGATTCTATTAGTTGACAGCAATAAAAGCTTCTGTCCAATACATGAGCTTAGGGAGGCATCCCGTATTTAAACTCTTAGCAGTCACTGCCTAGCTCCTAAAAATTTATGTTCTTCTCATAAGGCATGTAGTTTTTCTCCAAGAGTCCCCATATTCTCAACAGTTTCGTTATTTCTCAAATATCTAAGTCTGGATTGTCTTCTAAGACTTAGGAAAAACTCTTTTCTGTGAATCCTTGTAAATGTAAAAAGCAAATTACACAAGGGTTCAGAGTCAACAGTTCTGTTTCAAAAGGTAGGAATAGGGTCATAGAAAGGAAGGTTCAAACCAAAGCAAGACTGCAACCCAGCAAGATATTAAGTCTGTCACCTGGTACACATGATAGTTTGAGGTGAGCTCCAGATGGCTTGGGCAGCTCCACTACTGCAAATGCTTCTCTCCTTCGCTGGCTTTTCTCCCAGCCCAGAGCTTTTCTCACAGACCTTCCACATTACTGGCATCAGTTTATACATATTTGAAATCTGAGTGGATGCTTCCATGACACGAGAGCTCTTATATTTTGCATCCTTGCAAAGCCAGTATCCCACGGATGACTACAAGGTTGCCTCAACTTGAGTGATGGCCAGACCTCTCCAAATTACACCTGTAGCAGCCTCTGTCCCCCTGGTCGGCTGAGCACAGTGATTCTGTGCCAGTAGGCGCTCTACTTTAAGGGCACTCTGTGCTCATGAGAAAAAGCTTTCATACTTTTTGCAATGGGTAGTTCAAGATATCTGTCATATTATTTCAATTTCAAATACTTGTCTTCTTTTAAATAGTGTCTCTTCAGAAAAGAAACCTTCCTTAACCCCAATTTTACATAGACTTTCCTGACTAAACTTGAATATTTGTAAGTCTTTCTGATATGTTCTGGTTCTCACTATAAATTATATAGTCAGGTTTTGTAGTAATGACTCTACTCCTGGTACCAGTTTTCAATTTGGTTTTTCATTACTGTGACAAATATATGGGAGAACAACTCAGGAAGGAAAAGTTTGTGGCTCACAGTTTCAGAGGCCTCAGTGCATGATCAGTTAGCTCCAACATTGTGTGCTGTGGTGTGGCAAAGGCTGTTGAGGAGCAGGTTCGCTCACCTCATGTCAGATAGAAAACAGAAGAATTAGAGGATAAGGCACATCTTCATAGGGTATGATTCCAGTGACCTAATTCTTCCCACTAGGCCCCACCACCTATTTTTTCACTATAATAGTGAAATTATATTATATCTATCAACAGTTTTACTCAGTAAGCAGAACCGTCAGGATCCAAACACTTTCCCCAAACACCACTGTCTAACAGTTAATGAATATGCTTGTGGAGGGAGGTTTTGTATTCAAACCATAGCAATCTTCTCATACTCAATGTCAGCCTTTCTTCCTATTTTTTGTTGTCCATGGGAAGGCCCACTCAGTTCTTTGTTCTGTTGAGGACAAAGTTCTCTCCAGTTCCGTGGAGCCCACTTAGTCTGGATTTTATGACCATTATTTTATCATGTTCCTTCTGTGCCTCATTGTCTTTTGCTCTTTGAGACTTACTTTGTTTGCTGTTCAAGTCCTTAGCCTAATGGTACTTCTACTGTGTATGTCTCCTCTCAAGCTGTTGACAACTTTGGGGTCAGAAAATCGCTTAATTCTGTTAATCATTAGTCCAAAATCACTTATTTAACTTTTAATAGATTAATTTTCTGCCTGCTGGTAATGACATGTTTTTTATTTAGTATCTACTTTCCATTTAGATTGTCTTAAAACTTCACCATGTAGGGAGGACTTACAATTCTACCAGTGTCTCACTCATCTTTAGTGTGTGCCACTTAATTTATTGAAAACTTTGTGGTTGTCTTATTAACTCCCCTAGCTTCCTTCTGCTTTGATGCTGAATACCTTTGCAGCCATTCTTCTATGACTAACTGAATGCTGGCTATTTCTTTAGTGAGATCTAGCTGGTTTTGTCCAAATAGGCATCTCTGCATGACTCCCATTTGTACTAACAGGTCATTGTCATTATTGTGGTAGTTTAGAATTGCAGTATTTTTATTTCAGTTTTACATGTCCAAATAGTCTTAAGTTTTATAAACTCATTTTTGTAGTCTTATGATCTTTCTTTCAATTACCAAGGCTATTATCACATTGATACTTTTCTTGATAATGTTGATGTCAGTAATAAAAACTTCCATTGAGTACTTACTTTTTTCAGAGATTGTACTTTAACTTACATTCTTGTCTTACACTTTTCCATTTTCACTCTCTCACTGTCTCCATATATACTCTCAGTACTATTACTTTTTGTTTGGTTGGTTTTGGGTTTTTTGTTTGTTTGTTTGTTTGTTTGTTTGTTTGTTTTTGGGCTTTTCAAGATCAGTTTTCTCCATGTAACAGTTCTGGCTGTCCTGGAACTCAATCTGTAGACCAGACTGGCCTGGAATTCACAAAGATGGATTGCCTATGCCTCTGGAGTGCTGGGATTACAGGTGCCAGCATCACCTGGCTACTGTTACCTTTAATTACAAGCAGAACCTTCTCAGGTGTCCCATGGCCTTTTAGTATGCCTCCCAGATGCAGAAAATAGAAAATAGAAAATAGAACTACCAATCAAAAGCTTGGCATTTAGGAACTTTCACTCCCTGTCTGCCGCTTTCCCATCCATGTTGTTCTTTCTGCTGTTATATGACTGTCCTGTGCCCCCCTCGGGCATTGTGTCTTTTCCCTGCTGAATTATGGACACTGTTCACATTTTGTTTTTCTGTCCTGGAAAGTGCTTTCTGCTCACTTTGTGTTATCAAAATGCCATCTGTTTTGTGAGGGTCATTTGAGATGGCACCTTTTCTCTAATGTTGCTGTCTCATTACCCTGTTGAAAGGATCTGCCCTCCCTTCAGCCCTCACATGTTTCCTTAGACCTTCCCATATGCTGCAGTAGTAGTGTCTGTGCAAACCTTTCTGCCTGTTGCTGTGTGCCCCCTCAGAGAACCCGAGAAGCCTCTTCACATCTGTTCCATCTACTCTGCTGACCTTTATGCAGTAGGAACATCATTTATATCGACTAAGACTTTGCAGCTTTCCTCCCAGTCAGGCTTCCGTAGTCATAGTTTGAACAACATTGGATTAACTGAAGTTCAGACACTTTAAATACTTTGGGAACTACTTTGGTACATTCAAAGAAAGTGGTACCTGAAGAAACTAGTTCAAGTATGGTGCTTATAAGGGCTGGGTTTTCTTTTAAACTAGTGCCGGTAGCACACACAGCTCTAATGTGCCAGTAACTTAGTATGTCACATGTGCACTTGTTTAGTTCTTGTTTAGTACTCATGGAGGCTGATGAGCTGAGTCACTCAGCCTGACCTCACATAAGCAGTCTGTGACAGACCTGGAACTTGACCCTGAAGGGAATGCTCCAGAGTCTATCCTTCCTGGTAGAACTAATTTAGCCCTTATCTGCTTGTGGAAATTCCAAATACACAATGCATATGTCTGTCAACCCCCAAAATGCCCTAGAGGAACCCTCCCACTGCCTTAAAGAACTTGTCAGTAGGCTCCAGTCAGAGTCCCCTTGCCTCGCAGCTGTGCACTGCTGCAGTTCAAGATGTTAACACTGGGCCCAAGAGCACTGACGGTCCAAACCACAGCACCGCTGATGTCACAGCACTCTGGACAGTATCTGATGCAGAATGAGAAGCAATCAGTGTTTGCTGGGTGAACTAATGAGTGAGGATAGCCATCGCAACCAGTTTTGCCATTTCTATGACTATCATAGTAACTTTTTAAAATTAGGGTACATACTGTTAATGGAAAACAATGATAGAGTCTTTCTTTTATTTTAGGGAAGTTGGGAAAAAAGAATCTTGAAGAGTTTAAATAGTATGTGTACGGAACTGAGTATCCCATTAGCACGAAAGGTACATTTAACATTTTTCTGCTGAAGTATTTTATTGTGAATTATTTATTGAAAAATGTCATAAAGTTGTATAACTGTTAGGCTTGATAGTCTTCATTTACTGGTGTATCTTTTTTTTTTTAAATAAAAATCTGTAAGTGCCAATTGTTTGGTTATGTTTTATACATATTCTTACTTTATAAATTTAGTGATCATTACAATGAACCTATGCTATAGCCTACTTAGACATTTGGCTGTTGTCTTAGTTACTTTTTTATTGCTGTGAAAGTTAGGGAAGGAAGCGTTTATTTAGAACTTAATGCTCCAGAGGGGTTGAATCCATCACCATCACAGTGGGGAGACATGGCAGGGGCCAGGGAGGTGACTGGAGCAGCAGCTCAGAGCACAAGCAGGAGTCACAAAGCACACTGGAATGGTGCAACCCTTTGAATTCACTAAACACACCCCTAGGGACATACTTTTCAACCTCCCCAAATAGCACCACCAGCAGAGGGACCAAATATGCTAATAATGCCTGAGACTTTAGGGGGCATCTCATTCAAAACCCCCACAACTGTAGAAAATGACTATATGTTAACATTTAGTCTTTGTACCTTCTGAGTAAGTGAGCACAGTAGCACTATTCCTTGAAGTCTGTAATTGGCAACATGATGACATCTTCCAGTATTAATGTAATGACTGAAAAGAATAATCCATTGTGTTTCTGCATACCTGGAGTCCTGTTTAGTTCTTACTTAATGGTGGGAGAGGTAGGAAATGAAAAAAAAGTCAGTGGGAGTCTGTTCTAGATACTATAGCTGCTCACAAGTAGGAGAGTTTCCCTTCACTTCCTTCTCTACCCACTAGTTATCCTCCACTGTTGAATAAATGAAGAACATAGACTTTTGATGAGCGCTAAGGAGAAGCCGCTGAAGCACTAACAGGGTAGTGTGTAGAAAAACTTAGATGGAAATCTGTCTGGAATGCATGCTATGGTATGATACTGTCTTGCACATCAGAAGATAATGCTACTGAGTCAGTCATGCCCTCAGTCAATCCCCTTGCCATGCATTCCTGAGCTTGCTGATGGGATGAGAGCTGTAGCATATGGTTGAGGAGGAGGTCTTTGTGAGATTTACTGGCCAGTCTGATCATTTACCTTCTCTTCTTATACTAATTAGTTCCATGTTCTAACTATATCATTGAGACTAGATATGTTGCAATCATTTTAAAACTAAATTTATGTGTAATTCCAAAGAAATTTTCCATATGTTATGGTACCTTATTTAAACTCTTGAATAAGTTATTGATTTTGAAACTAATTAAAAAAATTTTTTTAGAGACCAGTTGGAGAACAGAAAGAACTTCTTAATAAGTGGAATGAAATGGGAACTGATGAGCCAGGTATGTGTAGTATTTCCTACAAGACCGGTCACTGGACTAAAAGAACACAGTACTTCTCTGGAGGCGCATAGACCTTCCACCTTCACTAATCCCTGACATCTGATTTGCTGATTTCTGTTTTGCAGTGTAAGAATTTGCAACTTTAGGCTGTGTTTTCTTTGCTTGGATAATACTAAGTCATTTATCCTTTTTTAAAACAACATTTTAAAACCTTTTAAATAAAAGAATAAATAATCTTTTTGTCACCTCTTCCGTGATCTTCCCTGAGCCTTAATTTTAGGAGTTTTGTTACAGATTTATCAACTGGGAGAATGATTGTTAAAGGCAGAGGACCAGAGTGTCTGCTGTGAAATTATGTCTTCTATATAGGACAGGGAAGCTGTAGCCATGAAATGACAACAGTATGGTAGGGTAGCCTAAATAAGACCCGAACAAGGATAACACCAACATGGACAGGGAAAAATCTTATGATTTGGGGTGGACTGTAGATGGACTGTAGACATTTTACAAATGCTGAGAGAGGAAAATTTAGCCTTCCCTAGGGATGGCCATAATACCAAGTATTCAGCCCTAAAACATAAGTTTATGAGCAACACTAAATGGACTCTTGGTTATACTTATAGATTTATGTGTATGTATGCACGCACCATTAATAATTAAAGAAAAACAATAGAGAGCATACATGAAAGTAGAAGGAGGGCTTGGAGCTAGAGAAAGTATAACTGCAGGAGGAGCGGAGATGGTAATAGTGGATTGAAGATAATGAGAATATATTACACCCATGTATGAAATGTCATAAACTCAGCAGTGTATACAATTAATAAATGACAATGAAAAAAAATAAAACAAGTAAATAAAATCTCTTCAATAGCTTCCAGAGACTTACCTTTTAGTTAAGGTAGAAATTCTATAAACTTAATTATGTTGAGATCTGAGGAAAGATTGTCTAGTGAAAAGTAAATTTCAAGAATTTAAAGAGTTTTAATTGTATTTACTGTCACTTTAAATTTAGTGCACAGTCAGTTTTATACACAGAATGAGTAGCAGCTATATATTGTAGGTGCGCATAATTGTTTGGACAGATGCGTACAAGGGCTCGCTCCTTCCCAGCCCCGCTGCTAACGCGGCTCTGGAAACTAGGCAAGCAATATGCTATAATAGGAAATGGTGCAACTGAAATGAGAAAAGATAGTGCAAGCAGAGAAAGTGATTGAGAATGCATTATTTGTATTCTAAGCACTTTAAAAATTCTCATAAAGAATCTTTACAAGAAACTCTTCTATAACAGTTGTTTAAATTGTCAAGGACAGTGTTGTTATTTCTGTGTTCACAGTATCTCAGAGTATACAACAAATAATACTCAATAAATATGTGATTCATCCCTATGGAAACATAGGAAGTGACGTTCATATTTATTGGTCATTTAGTATATTATCTGAAATTTTGTTTTACTCTCATTCCAGACCTAAGTCTTTTTCGACCTGTTTATGCACCTAAGGATTTTCTTGAGGTATGTTCTATTGGATAGATATGCAAATATTATAGGTGTAATTGGAGACCCATGCATGACCCCAAATGACTTTTTCAGCCTGAGGTGATGCAACAAGAATTATCATGTTTGGCAAGGGAAAACTTATAAGATACTAACAAGGCTTCTTGTTTATTTTTAAAGGTATTAATTAATCTCCGCAACCCAAATTATGAAAATGGTGATTCGCTTAGTTTCAGGACTAATTTGGGTTTAATCCAAGTTCCTCTGAAAGTAAAGGACATTCCTGAATTGGTAAGTATAAACACTGAAGACTAAGTTAATGTATATTAGAAGATAACCACTAGAAAAATATTGTAGAGCCGCATGTATCTATTATAATAAGAGTCCTGGACACATTAAACAAATTACTAATGTGACATCCTTTAAGTTAGAAATATGTACATAGAAAGAGCAAGTTTGAGTGTTGAAGTCAGATAAGTTTGCATTGGCCTATAACTGTTTTGCCTATTATTTCAATAAAGAACAAATATTTATGAGGCAGCTTACTGGGACTCAGGTGTCTGATATGTGGCTATAAAAATGATTAGAACACATCATAAGATTTGTAAGAGGATTTTTCCATTCTTTTAAAAAAATTTATTATTTATTACTATTTATTCACTTGGTATCCCAGCTGTAGCCTCCTCCCTCATCTCCTCCCAATTCCACCCTCCCTCCCTCTTCTCCCATGCCCCTCCCCTAGTCCGCTGATAGGGGAGGACCTCTTCCCATTCTATCTGATCCTAGCCTATCAGGTCTCATCAGGACTGGTTGCATTGTCTTCCTCCTTGGCCTGGCAAGGCTGCCCCCTCCCCCAAAGGATGTTTAAGAGAGCACATGTTATTTCCTGAAACCCAGAACATGGTGAAACACTAAGAGAAACTGCCTTTGCTCTGGAACCCATTGTCTCAGTGAGGAATTGGTTTTCAAATGAACTGTGAAGAGAGTTCCTGATGGTGGAATGAAGTGTCATCACTCCTTTTGTTACTGATTCCAGAATAATAAAGGATGCAGCACTGTCAGTGCCTCTGTGTGAAACTCTGAACTTTAAAGATGGAGAGGTCATCTAAAGCAGGGAGATGTCAGACCAGAGGGCAGTGTGCTGAGAGCGAGTATGCAGCAACCACATCATCTGTCGCTCTACATCCCCTACTCTGCTCTGGTGCATTAGCAGATTATCGTCCTTTTGCCAGCTGGCTGCATGTTATTTTGTGAATAAAGGGATGGTTCTGGAGGCATATTTGGAAAGCTCCAGCAGGAGAAAGCTATTTCCCTTCTGGTTCCTATGTATAGTAATGATCTCCGCAGCCCAGCTCCAGCCAAGGCTGCAGCAGGTTCCTTTTGGCATTTTTTTTTTCATCACCCTTGGTCTTGGTCACAGCCTTGAACTCTGGGAAGATGCTTTTTCTGATTTCATACTTCCTTTTCATTTATGTTCCTCGAAGCCATGGTTGCTTTCTGCATTTGCTGCTTCTGTTTTTCCCTCTTGACATCTGTGGCAGGCCTTTTCTTTATTAACTAGAAATTGACTGAGTAAAGAAGCAAAACGGTTTTCTTCATAGAACCTTGGGAAAGCTCAAGAATCAGAGACACCATGGCTGCCCACCATGGCAGTCCATAGGGCTGAGAATGGAGGTTCTGGGAAGACAATCAGGTGGAGCTCCTTCCCACTGTGCAGAGTCACATGACTCTTCCCATCCCCATAGGAGGCCAGAGGCACACTCACCAGAGATACAAACAGCTAGTAACTTAGAATCCTCCAATTTACAGTAGGAAGACTGAAGTCATTAACACAGGGATCAAGTGAAAGTCTATGGAATGGTGAGACCTTTGTTCTTATCTCTGCTACTATGCTTTCAGACCCTCTACCAACTTTAGAATACCAGAAAAGCTAGTGAAGATTTGGGGAACCCTTATCGTTCCACCCTTGGCTGGCACAGAGCTGTCTAACGGTGGCCCACCACACTCTAGGGAGATCTTTGCTGCATTGCTCCCAGACTTATTCCCAGACTTAAGCAATGAACTTAAAATCCCCAGATGTTTAAACTGTTGCCATTTGAGAGCATGAGGCAATGAACTCAAAGATCAAAAGGAGGGAAAGAAGGAGGGGGACAGAGGGAAAGGACAGGGAGGAGAAAGGATGGGAGAAAGAATGAGAATAAATGAGTATGAGAATAAGAGTTTATAAAATGATCACTAGTATTTGATTTAAGCTTTGTTTAAGCTTTGGTCTTTGTGTGACACAGAAGAGAATAGGCAACAGCTTGGCCCCATATTAACTTTGATGTATAGAATGACACTAGACAGAAAACAGACATGCCTGTGTTTCAGCACTAGTGTCAAAAATATGTTCTTCTGGTAGTCCCAAGCTCTGGTTGCAATCTGGAATCAGTCTGTTTTGAGTCTTGGTGGAGTCTTTTTTCTTAAACTTTTTCTCTTCATTGCCATTTCTGGAAATTCTTCTTCTCTTTGGTTAGAATAGTAATTGTGGGGGAAAATAACAATTGCAGGTTTTACCCTAGGGCCTATGATCTCCCAATCATGGATTTTGACAAGGATTATAGTACTAGATGTGGTATTTCCTCTTGTGGAGCAGGCCTCAACTCCAATCAGAAGGTCATTAGTTACACCGAAACAGTTATGCCTTTATTGTAGCAGTTCATACATCTTGCCTGCTAGGTCAGTACTGTAGCATGCAAGAGTATGGTTAGTCCTCGTCTGTAGTCATCGGGACTAGTTTCTGCTATCCTTACACCGTGTCAGGGTGATTCTGACCCAGAATGACTGGATTATGTTTCAAGTAGATGTCTTGAAATGGAGATGTACTAACTCTAAAGAGAGGTTGTGACTAGTGGAGTAGCCAGATGGGACTAGACACTAGTAGTTCTGTACTTGCTGGGTCAGGCATTTGTACCAGGGAGATAGTAGTCATCCACAAAGAACTGCAGGCTAGTGGGGGAGGGTGGACAGTAAAAGGACAGTTTTACTACAGTGGGAGTAAATGTTTAGGTTGAGGCTGAAAAGAGATAATTTATTAACAGTGCGTTTTTTTCAGTCTGGAATAGCAAGGAAGGCTTCTGAGGAGGCACACTCCCTATGATCAATTTTGTGGAAATTGGGAGGTTGCTAAGGTTGAATGAAGAATAGTCTAGAGCAATGACATGGAAATTGGACATTCAAATCTCACATGTCATAAGTAAAACTCTACATTTTTATTACAGAACTTAGCATTGAAGTGTTTTTTGGCCCTAGATTTGTGTTTTAGTGTCCAGATCAATGTTATTCTTAACCTGAGATGTATAGTCACTAATAACGATTCAGTGAAAGAAGTGTCATAAAATACATGGAAGACTGTTGTTGAAATGGAAGAACCATGAAACTCACTAACCTACATAACAGATGATTTGGAAAAATAACGTTATTTCTGTTTTAAAGGAGAGGGAAGTTTGGTTTACCAAATAGTTATAAAGCATTGAAGCAACCATTAATAGAAGTATTTAATTTCTTGTAGAATAAAATAGTACAAACAGTATGAGGTTTTCTATGCTTACAAAATACAGATGTTATTTTTGTCCCAGATAAGTGAAGGAAGTCTTATGAATAAATCTAATTTCATCCTTATTTTAGCTGAGCACTTAATAGTTCAATTTTACTAAAAAATGAGTTTGTTTTGGGTATTTGCGATGTTTGGTTTGTTAACATCAGAGTAAGATGCCAAATCATAGAAAACACAGAGAGACATGTTGGTAATATGGGACAATGATGTTAGATAAAATGGATTCGTATGATGTGAGTGAGTGGCCCTGGGGTGGGGAGGAAGGAAGAGAAGGAAAAAAGTCAGGGGAGAGACATCGGCATGTGCTTGCCTGGGTTCATGTTTTATATAATATTATTTATATATATATATATATATATATATATATATAAAACTTTATACATCAGTATCATCTCTTTCTATGTGATTTGTATGTTACCGAAAAAGGCATTTTTTTTTTTTTAAAGAAGACATTGTCATTATTTATACTAACTAAAGGGTTCAAAGTAAAAAGTTTTAGACAGGAAAAAGTGATGGAATGAAAAATATTAGCGAAGGTCCTGTACCAGAAAAATACTGAAAGTTTACATTTCTTTTCTCATTATGTATATAATTTTTCCTAGATGCTATCTATCACTTTTTTAGTCATGTTTATTTCATGTGAAAATGATGCATAGCCGTATCTACATTACACAGCTATCGTTATTCTGTTCCTTAATGTTTAGGGTCCATTACTGTTCTTTTGGTTTTTTAGGTATTTATATGAAACAGATTCATTTTACATGTGATTTATGTGTTGATATTTAGGTGAAGTAATCTTTTCCCATGCACCCGGGCCTGAGATATGTGCTAATTCTCCATGTGTTACTTTTCAGAAAGAATGCTTTATAGAGCTTGGCTTAAGTACAGGACAGCTGGGTATTGATGACTCTACACAAGTGCCTCCTGGTTAGTATTTCCTATGTGGTATTTAATTAGTGACAAGAGTTAGCTTCCAAGTACACAAGCCATCTTTATGCAGATCAGTGGATTACAAAGTTGAAATACTGTATGACCTCCAACCAATCAAGAAACAGTGTATCACAACAGTTTAGAAGACCACTGTGCACAGATACCAATTAACACCCCATAGTAACAGCTGTCCTGCTTAAAACACCATAGGGCTGGTGTGGCCTATTTGGAATTATTCACGGTACACACTTGTGTCAGTTTTCCATGGGTTACAGTTGTCTATAAGGTCCATAGTGTTATGAAGAACTGTAAAATTATTTGTTCCATTTCTGTATTGTGATCCACCACATGTAACTACTACTGCCTATCTTGTTTGTTGATGTCATTTGAGTTATTCCCACCATTTAGTTTTCATCACTTGTCCTGCAATGAATATATTTTCACAGGCCACTTGATGTGACGTACATCGTAGGGCATATACCTGAGAGTGAGCTGATAGTTGTCCTCTCATGTGCACGTGAACAATGTCAGTGGATATCCCCAGCTTTCCTAACTCGTCATGCCAACTTACACTCTCACCAACTCTATTTGAGAGGTTCATTTGCTCCATTTTTTTTTTTTTAATCTCAAATTCCCAGTCTCTTGTTTTTACCACAATGGTGGCTCCATGTTTCATATTGGTTCCAATTGTTTTTCTGATGACTAATATGGTCAAGCAGCTTTTTCCTCATCTTTATAAGCTACCACTGTTGGTAAAGAACCTTTTCAAATGCTTGGCTTATTTGTGTCATACAGTTGCGTGCTTCTTCCCATCTTTATAAATTATGGATACAGGTCTTTTGCCAAATATATATGTTACAAATATATTCAGAAACCTATCTTGTCCAAACTCTCTTAGTGGTGTTCTTTTTTGTGTGTGAACAGAAGTTTATTTTAGCATGCTATAGTTAATGAGTTTGCTTGCATTATCATTGATATATTTTAAAAAGCAGCCATTCCAGCGAAAGCATTTAAATGGCATTCAGGAGGCGAAGCTTGCACCTAGAAGAGGTAGGCTGTGCGGAGATAAATTTTAATCTAGCTGGACTGGAAACAGCACTTTATAAAGGAAGCTGCTAACAAGATTTTTTTTTTTAATTCAAAGAACTTTTTTCCTGAATGAATTTTTAAGTTTTATTTATGTAGTGTGTGTATGTGTGTGTACATGCATGTGTGAGTATGTACTTCTGTATGTTTGTGTCATGTAATTGTGTGATCAGATCTCAGGTCCTCTTGAGTGACTGCTCTTAACCCTGAGCTGTCTCTCCAGCCCCTGAATTGATATTAATAACAAATAATTCTTTGAATGACTTCTTTTTGAATGGACAGAAATATTTTTGTATGAGAATATATTCTGTTTTAACTAAAGAAACCTTAGTTTTCCCATTTTTTCCTCCCCAATTAAGAGTGTGAACTCACTGTAACAACTTAGGAAAAGGCTTTTCCATGTTTAGGCTGCTTATTGAAGTTTTCAGAGCCAGGTGTGGTAGTGTGTGCCTTGCGCTTAGAAGGCTGAAGCAACAGGGTTGTGCTCTTAAAGCCTTCCCAGGCTACTTAGTGAGATTAAGTCCAGCCTGGCAACAAGGTTCTGTCTCAAAACAACAACAACAAAACAAACCCGAAATTCCTATGTTTTCTATATAGTTATCCAATTTTAAAAATAATTAGAAGTATTAGTACCAGGAAAAATGCTTCTTATTCTAAATGTAGTTGATAATGTTTGTGTTTAATAATTTTATTTTCTTTCATATTTTCAGAACTTTTTGAAAATGAGCATGTGCGTATTGGGCAAAAAGGTAAGCTTAGATTCATTAAAACCTATTTAAAAATGAGACTGTTCTAGGTAACTGTCCTCATGAAGTAGCCTCAGCTGAAATTTGTTCTCTGAAAAGTGAAGCACTGGAGAGTCATAATATTTAACCGAGCAGGTAATCTAACAGGAATCTTTATTTAGAAGCAAAATGCGGTATGTTAGCTGTCTCAGTAAATGTAAATGAAGCACACAGCTGGCTCACTGAACAGGAAATGCAGACCAGCATTCATCAGCCTCATGAGAGTCAAGCACTCTGCAGCAGAATCTTATCTCACAATCAAGGAGGCAGCTTCCTTTTTGATGCATCTACACACCTCTCATTAGGGCTAATGAGGGCATGCTCCTGCATCAGGAGAGGATGGAGCCCTTAAATCCCTCAAAATGGCTCAAAATGATAGAGTTTAATAAATGTAGCAGGTCTCCACATCCTGGATAACAATTGCCCATCTTTGGAAACTCATTTTCTTGTTTCTGTACATCCTTTATTGCCTTTGAGGTGCAAATAAGGCTTTGTGTCAGACTGAACTGTATGACAATTACTGTCATGTACCAATGTCCCTACTTCAATTTTTCAAAGTCATGTTAATTTCAAAGACCTCTTTTGTGGGTTTGGCCTCTTTCATTAAACATTCAGATAAAGAATACTCTTTAAAACTTATCATGCTGTCTTTGTCTCTTTTTATCATGTCTAGTAGAATATTTCCTCTTCCCTTTGAAAGGAAACAAGAGAATGGTTCTATTATATGAACATTGGTTGTGTAGTATATCTCATTTTTTTGTTTGCTTTTAGTTTGTGAGTTTTTTATTTTCAGGTTGAATAGTTCATATTTTAATTAAAGAAAATAAAAACAAAAGCAAAATGATACTATACTGATTTTTTTAAAAATGGGTGCTTAAGGATAATTTTGTTGAAAGTTTATTAGTCTTTGTTTTGCATTTCTTTTCCATTTTATTTCAAATTTGTACAGAGCTAAGAAGCCATTTGGTAAAATGGGTGTTGTCACATTCGGCCACATTATTCTTGGGCAGAATTTTGCCTGTCTAGTGCTGTATGTGGAAATACAGAGTGCCATGACTTGGTAGCTACATTTATGAAAATTACCGGTTCCAAGGGTGAGGCTCTGCTCAGTCACAGAAGCCAGACATCAGTCTCCTTAGGAGTTGTAGATCTGTGGAGCTGTGGGAAAGCACAGTGATCTCAACACTGAGAGCTCTTGTCAGGCTGAGGAGGAGCTGGGGGCTCAAGACTTGAACCCCTTGGGCTGTGTGCTAGCGTCATCTCAAAACCCAGAGAGTGGAAGGAAGACAATGGAAAATGCACGTATGTCAGGGGCAGAGCCTGAGACGTTGCTTCATAATGAGAGATCCCTGAGGTGCTCCTTGCATTGTGAATTTTCTAACAGGATTATCGTATACATTTGACAGTTCTAGCACAGCAGGATAGCGCTGCTGCTCAGCAATACATCAGACAAGGAAGTCCCACGGCACTGAGGGCTGAGCTCTGGGCGCTCATTTTGAATATCTCCAGTCAGCCTGAGGTAAGAAGCAAACAGGATGGATCAAACTTAAGTTTAAGGATGTGTCTTCTGGGTATTGTTTGTTCAAAGAGGAACAGCTGTGAAGTACTTTGTTATTCACCCTGCTTTTCATTTCCAGTTGTTGTTTTAGGGGAAGGCATGATTTAAGACAGAATTTAATCAATATCTGAATAAATATTTTTGTTAGTAAATAGTGTGATCATATATATATGTAGTAAAACAAGAAGTAAAATTCTAAGTCAGATCAGCAAAGCGTTGACAGAATGGGATGTTCTAAAGAAGAGCAACTGAAAACGAGTAAGTGAATCCTTTGTGAGTTTTGGTTTGATTGGTTGTTTTTTTGAGGTAGGCTCTTATGTAGCCCATGTTGGTTTCAAATTCACTTATGTAGATGAGGCTGGCCTTGAACTTCTGTTGCTCTTGTCTCCACTTCTGAAAGTGCTGGGATTATAGGCATGTACAACCACCCTTGGCTTTTATGGCTACCGTTGAAATATGCACTGTCCTTATGGTTCTAAAATTTGACCGATACTGTGGGGATATTAATTTTCCAAATACATGATCATTTTTTAAGGAAATGCAATGAATATTAAAGGAAGTGACCAACCCACTAACAGATAGATTGAGATCCTTTGTTTTCCAGTGTTGGGGATGAAGCCTAGGGCTTCATGCATGCAAGGCAAGTGCGCCATCAGCTGAGCTGGTGCCCTGCCTAGGGCGTAGGTATAGTAGTGACAACTTGCATGGACATTGACTTCTCCGGGATAGTCTCTCTGTATTCACAGATGTAGTTACCTGTGTATAGTGGTTATATATGTGTATAAAGTCATTCTTTTAAAGATTTCTAATCACTGTCATACGAACAGTATAACAGGTTCTATGAATATATAAACCTGGTGTAAATTCAGTTCCCTTGTCTTAGTGAATGTATATCACTGAGCAAAATGCCGAAATTTCATCAAGCCTCAGTTAGCCTATCCTTGAATGTACATAATAATAATAATATTTATATCATATATTTATGACAAATATACAAAAATAATGTGAATTCATCAATATAATAATGGGCACAAATGTTTGCCACTAATGGCCACATAATTGCTTGTAATTATGTTACAAATTTACAATATTGATAACAAAAAAACATTAATTTCTGTTGTGAAACTACATTTTCAACCTTTGCAAAAAAGGTGTTTGTATATATATGTATGGTATGTGTGTGCACGTGTGTGTGTGTGTGTCTTCAATCTCCCTATGTGAACAGCATTGTCAGCATCTTTTATTTGAAAAAAATAAAGCTTGTGATTGAATGCAGAGCAGTTTTAGAGCATGAGTTATTGCTGATATTTTGTGGTAACACTTTGGAGATAACTGTTTACAAAACAGATTTGAGTAATTTGCATATTTTTCTGTTTGTATGGTCTCCTATTCAACATAATTCCTTTTTTAATTGACTTATTATTACAATTTATTCACTTTGTATCCTGGATGTAGCCTGCTCCCTCATCTCCTCCCAGACCCATCCCCCTTCCCTCTTCTCCCCTATTCCCCTCCCCTATTTCTCAGAAAGGGAGAGCCTCCGTTCCCTACCATCTGACCCCAGCTTATCAAGTCTCATTCCTCTGCATTTTCTTCCTCCCTGGCCTGGCAATGTTCCCCTACCAGGAGGACATGATCAAAGAGTGGTCAACAGTCCATGTCAGAGATAACCCCTGCTCCCCTTACTTGGGAGCCCACATGAAGCCTGAGCCGCCCATCGGCTACATCTGAACAGGGGATTTAGGCCCTCTCCATGCATGGTTCTTGGTTGGTTCATCAGTCTCTGCAGGACCCCCTGGGCCCAGATTTGTTGGCTCTGTTGGTCTCCTTGTCCCCTCCAGGTACTTCTATCCCCGGACTCCTCCATAAGACTCCTTGAGCTCTGCCCAAAGTTTGGCTATGAGTCTCAGCATCTGCTTTGATCCCCTGCTGGGTGGAGTCTTTCAGAGGGCATCTATGGTAGCCTTCCATTCTGTTTCCTCTCTTCAACCACCTAGGCTCCTGTCCTGTTCATGCTTTTCTCCTACTTCCAATGTCTATCTTGTTTGGCCTTCTGAATGAGAATTAAACATCCTTCCTAAGGTCCTCTTTGTTATTTAGCTTCTTTAGGCCTGTGGATTTTAGTATGGTTATCCTATATTACATGACTAATATCTGCCTATAAGTGAGACTATACCATGCATGTCTTCCTGATTCTGGGTTACTTCACTCAGGATGATCTTTTCTAATTTTGTTCATTTGCCTGCAAATTTCATGATTTCCTTGTTTTTAATAGCTGAGTAGTATTCCATTGTGTAAATATACACAGTTTCTTTATCTGTTCTTCAGTTGAGGGACATCTAGGTTGTTTCCAGATTCTGGCTATTACGAATTAAGCTGCTATGAACATAGTTGAGCAAATACATTGATAAACTGATTTAGTGTTCTGTAAGATATAAATTACAGGTATTCTGTTTGGGACTAAGGCTATATAAATCCCCACTTTTCACAGAATATAGCAAAATGTTTGTATACTAAAGTTAAACTTTTAGTCTTTCTTTGCACATGATGTGGACTTTGTGTAAAAGTCTGTTATGTCCTCTTCTCCAGAAAACCTGCCTGGCACCCAAACTGACATTAGAACTTTCTCATTAGATATTTAACCAACAAATTTTAACAACTATTTTTTTTTCTGTTTTGATAGCTGTGGCAAAAGAAAAAAGTAGCACATAAAATATGGCCAGGAAATACATGTTGAATTAATGAATCTTTATTTAATTAAATTTTTTTAATGTTAGGCATGAATAGGTGTTTTGAGTACGTGTGTGTGTGCACCATGTACAGTCAGTTTCCTTGGAGGCCTAAACCAAGCGTTGGGTCCTCTGGTACTGGGGTTTATAGCCCAGTGGTTGAACTGTAGTGCTCCTAAGTGCTGAGCTATCACTCCAACCCACAACTTATTTAATGCTTGAAAGGTCTAATGATAGACATATTCATGAAGACTTAATAGGGCTATCCTATGGTTATCAAATTCTTTCTTAGAGAATGCTCTCCAAGCCAGTGAGGTGAACAGACCCTACTACAGAAAAGAACTGTCTCAGTGCAGCCGTCTCTCTGTATAGTCATTGCAGGCGCGAGCCTGGAAGAATCCCTGCACATCCTCTCCTTTAAGAATAAAAGTGAGATCTTACTCTTTGTCACTTTTGTTCCCAGGCACCTCTGATTCTTTTTTTTTTTTTTTTTTTTCATGGCAGAGTTGCTGGTCCTTCTCTTTGGATACCAGAATTCTCAAATTAAGTTTGTAGTTTAGTTGCTTCCCCCTCCCTCCACATCACATCGCATCACATGATAAAAACAAGCAAATAATGAGGTAAAGACAAATAAAACAAGCTCAGCCATGACAAAGATACTCAATGGTGATTAATAGGCGAAGAAGAAACTTGGTTAGATGAGGTTGTGAAAATGCTCTCACTAGAAAAAACAAACAAACAAAAACTGTTGCCAGATTGTTTCTGTTTAAAAGACGAAAGAGGGCACATAAGAGAAAAATATAGAAACCAGTACCTTCTTTTGGACAAAATGCCTTCCTTAGATTTACTAGAAGAAAACACAACATAGAAATGTTTTATTTTTTATTTATTTATTTTTTTTCTGGAGAGGACAGGAACTCCATGAGAGCAGTAGAACCAGAAAATTTGAACACAGGGACCTTCCCAGAGACTCATACTCCAACCAAGTACTATGCATGGAGATAACCTAGAACCCCTGCACAGATGTAGCCCATGGCAGTTCAGTGTCCAAGTGGGTTACATAGTAATGGGAAGAGGGACTGCCTCTGACATAATCTGATTGGCCTGCTCCTTGATCACCTCCCCCTAAGGGGGGAGCAGCCTTACCAGGCCACAGAAGAGGACAATGCAGCCACTCCTGATGAGACCTGATAGACTAAGATCAGAAGGAAGGAGAGGAGGTCCTCCCCTATCAGTGGACTTGGGGAGGGGCATGCTTGAAGAAGGGGGAGGGAGGGTAGGATTGAAAGGGGAGGAGGGAGGCGTTTACGGGGGGATACAAAGTGAATAAAGTGTAATTAAAAAAATTTAAAAAAAAGAATAAAAGAATTGGAAAGAAAAAAAAAAGAATAAAAGTGAATTGTAGCTTCTGTGTTTTTTCTAGCTCTTTCTCCATTCTCTTTTCTTTTCAAAGCTGCATCTTAAACAAAAGTCTATTATATAGTGAACAGGGCAAGGCTAGACTTTTAAGTAACAAGTAGCTACTGTACTTGATACTATTGCCTTGTTTGTCCTTGGAATTATCTTGATCTTCATTTTAATTTATCCTTTTCTTAGTTTTTTTTTTTTTTCTCTTTTTATCTCTTCATGGGGGAGTAGGGCTTCTTAGAAGAGCATGGATAGTTCCCTCTTACTCTCTTACTGCTCTGAGGTGCCAGGCAGCCTTAAAACTGGTTTAGTAAATGTTTTTTAAATACTGAGGAACTACAATAGTGTGAAAAATAGCACTTACCTTTAATTTACTATTAGATATTTTGTTTTGGATAAATAAAGGGACTATACCATATATCACTGTCTACATTATAATAAAATACATTGCACAATGGTGATTCTAGGGAAGGGTAGCTTATCTCACCTTCCAAGAACTTTATCTGAATTTGTGCCTGTATCACTTGGTATACAAAACAGTCTTGGTACTGTAGAAATGGCCCAACAGTTAATAGCACTGGCTGCTCTCCCAAGGAACAGAGTTTGATTCCCTGAGCCCAAGTGGTGGCTCATAAAACTGTCTGTAACCCCAGTCCCAGGGAATCCATTACTTTCTTCTGGTACACAACCATAAGTGGAGGCAAAACACACATACATATGATTTTTTAGAAAGTCTTTTAAGTCTCAGTTTAACTTAGAGTTTTGTGAAATAAGACAACTTGTCACTCTAGATTCCTTCCAAGAGAGAGAATATTACATGCTCAAAACATTTTAACTAAAATATACTAAAGGTTAAACATTTATTTAGCTGAGTGATATGGCATATAAAAATAATTAAATGAAAAATCAGAAATGGGGGCTGGAGAGATGGCTCTGAAGTTAAGAGCACTACTTTGCTCTTCTAGAAGTCCTGAGTTCAATCCTCAGCAACCACATGGTGGCTCACAACCATCTATAATAAAATCTAGTGCCCTCTTCTGGCGTTCAGGTGTACATGTAGGCAGAACATTGTATACATAATAAGATAAAGAAATCTTTAAAAAGAAAGAAAAATACAGAAATGTTTAACTGCATAATTATTTCCTGTGTACACAAAAGCTTTGGTACATCGCAGCATCAATAAATTATTATAATTTATTTTATATACTGTTACTAAATCAATTTGAAGTGCTGTTATAGCACAGGCTCTAAGAGCAACAATAAATAAATGGGACCTCATGAAACTGAAAAGCTTCTGTAAAGCAAAAGACACTGTCATCAAAACAAAACGACAGCCTACAGACTGGGAAAGGATTTTCACCAACCCTTTATCTGACAGAGGGCTAACATCCAGTATATATAAAGAACTCAAGAAGTTAAAAAGCAACAAATCAAGTAATCCAATTAAAAAATGGGGCATGGAGTTAGAGAACTCTCTGTAGAGGACTGTAGAATGGCAGAAAAACATGTAAAGAAATGCTCCTTAGCCATCAGGGAGATGCAAATCAAAATGACCCTGAGATTTCACCTTACACCCATCAGAATGACTAAGATAAAAACCTCAAGTGACAACACATGCTGGAAAGGATGCAGAGAAAGGGGAACCCTCCTCCATTGCTGGTGGGAATGCAAACTTGTACAACCACTTTGGACATCAATCTGGCGCTTTCTCAGACAAATAGGAATAGTGATTCCTCAAGATCCAGCTATACCACTTCTAGGCATATATCCAAAAGATGCTTAAGTATACAACAAGGACATTTGCTCAACCATGTTTGTAGCCCCTTTATTCGTAATAGCCAGAAACTGGAAACAACCCAGATATCCCTCAGTTGAGGAATGGATACAGAAATTGTGGTACCTTTACACAATGGCATACTACTCAGCAATTAAAAACAAGGAAATCATGAAACTTGCAGGCAAATGGTGGGACCTAGAAACGATCATCCTGAGTGAGGTATCCCAAAAGCAGAAAGACACACATGGTATACACTCACTTATATAGATCTGAGATAGGATAAATATACTGAAATCTTTACACCTAAAGAAGATAAACAAGAAAGAAGACTCGGGGTAAGATGACCAATCCTCACTTAGAAAGACAAATGGGATGGACATTGGATGTAGAAGAAAACAAGAAACAGGACAGGAGCCTACCACAGCCTCTGAAAGACTCTACCTAGCAGTATATCAAAGCAGATACTAAGACTCATAACCAAACCATCTGCAGAGTGCAGGGAATCATATGAAAGAAGAGGGTGTTAATAAGACCTGGAGAGTACAGGAGTGCCAGAAGGACCAAATATACCAGGGCGTAGGGGTCTTTCATGAGACTGTTCCTCCAACCAAGGACCATGTATAGATATAACCTAGAACCCCTGCTCGGATATAGCCCATGGTAGCTCAGTGTCCAAATGGGTTCTCTAATAAGGGAAACAGGGACTATTTCTGACATGAACTCAATAGCAAGCTCTTCCACTCCCCTCCCACAAGGGAAAAGCAGTCCGGCTAGGCCACAGAAGAAGACATTGCAGCCAGTCCTGAGGAGACTTGATAAGCTAGGGTCAGATGGAGGGGGAGGAGGTCCTCCCCTGTTAATGGACTTGGAAAGGGGCAGGGAGAAGACGAGGGAGGAAGCGTGGGATTGGGAGGGAATGAAGGAGGGGGCTACGGCTGGGATACAAAGTAAATAACCTGTGGTTAATATAAAAAATTTAAAAAATAAAAATAAAAAAGAAGGTGCTGTTATTATTTTATAAGGTCTATAGTAACCTCTTAATTTGCTTATTAGAAAAAGCCAACACATTTTGACTACATATTGAAAAGAATATGACCTTGTTTTTATGAAGTGTTTGATATCTAGCTTGTAGTTTTGAACTTTTTATGGACAGATAAATTTCTGAATCAGCATGACCTTGTTTTCGTGCAGTCACCCAGCATTTTGTATTTGTTGCTTTGCTGTATATTTTATTATGTGTCTGAGTTTTAGCTAGTTCAATTAGGCCACAGGATTGCTACATAATTATATTCATAGGGATGTTGGCTATTTTTAATAATTGGGCCCAGAAAAATCTGTCTTTATGTGTAAAATTTATTCAGTGCATTTGAATATATTTATATTTCTTTATGGAAATATGTGATCTAAAATTATTATTTTAATGATTACTCTTATTAAGGTATTTATTAATTTTCTGGCAGTGGTTAGGAAAAGCATGTGATAACAAAAAGCATTGCAGGTACAGTTGAAAATAAATTGTTGTTAGGCAATTAAAGTAAGATTCCCTGTAAGCATTTATAATTCATAAGTAATATAGATGAAAATTTTCAGTCTAAGTTACCTTTGGAAATAATTCCTATAATTGATTTTATTTCAGTATGTCAGCATACACATGAACAACAAATTAAAATAAATATTCATAGTGTAAGCTCATTGATCATTTTCTAAAGCAGTATTTTTTCAAAAGTCACTAGGATTGTGTTTCCCTCTGCTTTATATAAACGATATAATATCCAGAATATATAAAGAACTCAAGAAGTTAAACAGCAACAAATCAAGTAATCTAATTAAAAAATGGGGTACAGAGCTAAACAGAGAGTTCTCTGTAGAGAAATATCAAATGGCAGAGAAACACTTAAAGAAATGCTCGGATGGGACCCCTTCCCAGGATACAGACACACCACAGGACAGAGCAGAGAGGTAGCAGACGGTACCCTGGGCACCAGGGCTGAGGGAGAGACAGGACCAAAGGCCTGTGAAAATATGAGAGAGCTTCATTTGGAAGGTGTCTCGGGGCAGAGGCAGTGAGACTTAGAATGCAGGTAAAGGAGAGGCCGCAGGAGCCTTGGGAGGTGCAGGATGCCGAGCCTGTGCAGTCTGCATTTTGAGGAGCCTTCTAGGTGCGTTTCCTAGAACAGCAGAACCAGGTGCTGGAGACCAAGTGGGAGCTGCTGCAACAGCTGGACCTGAACAACTGCAGGAAGAACCTGGAGCCTGTATATGAGGCCCACATCAGCAGCCTGCAAAAGCAGCTGGACACAGTGTCTGGGGACAGAGTACGGCTGGACTCAGAGCTGAGGGGCATGCGGGACACGGTGGAGGACTGCAAGAAGAGGTACGAGGAAGAGATAAACAAACGCACGACTGCGGAGAACGAATTTGTGGTGCTTAAGAAGGATGTGGACGCAGCGTACATGAGCAAGGTGGACGCCCTGGACGGCGAGATCAAATTCCTCAAGTGTCTGTACGAGGGGGAGATTGCCCAGATGCAGTCACACATCAGCAACACGTCCGTCATCCTGTCCATGGACAACAACCGCAGCCTGGACCTGGACAGCATCATTGCCGAGGTCCAAGCTCGGTACGAGGAGATCGCCCTGAAGAGCAAGGCCGAGGCTGAGACAGTGTACCAGACCAAGTTCCAGGAGCTGCAGCTGGCAGCCGGCCGGCACGGGGATGACCTCAAGCACACCAAGAACGAGATCTCGGAGTTGACCCGGCTCATCCAGAGACTGCGATCAGAAATCGAGAGTGTGAAGAAGCAGTGCTCCAACCTGGAGACGGCCATTGCTGACACCGAGCAGCGAGGCGACTGCGTCCTCAAGGATGCCCGGGCCAAGCTGGATGAGCTGGAAGGTGCTCTGCAGCAGACCAAGGAGGAGCTGGCACGAATGCTGCGTGAACACCAGGAGCTGATGAGTGTGAAGCTGTCCCTGGACATCGAGATCGCCACGTACCGCAAGCTGCTGGAGGGCGAGGAGTGCAGGATGTCTGGAGAACACACCAGTTCCGTGAGCATTTCCGTCATCAGCAGCTCTGCGCCTGGGACCAGCGGAGGGGCTGGTTTTGGGTTCGGTAGCACTGGTGCCTATGGCTACCGGCCCAGCTCCGTTGGTGGGGGCTACGGCATCCTGTCTGGGGGCTGCTTCACCGGTAGCGGGAATTGCAGCCCCCATGGAGAGACCAAGACCAGGCTGGGTAGCACCAGTGAATTTAAGGAAGTTTCAGGAAAGAACGTGGCTTTGGGCTCACCCACAAAGAAAACCATGAGATAGACTGACAGCCGGGCGCCCGTTTCTGCCTAGCTGTGGTTTTCTCTGGAGTCTCTGCCGGGAAACCCCTCTGTTTGCCATCACTCACTCGCTCGCTTCTTGCCGTTCTTTGCTGCCAACCCCGCTGCCTTTGTCTTTATTAGCCATACCAGGATTCTCAGGTTGAAGCTATCTCATGAATCCTTCTGCCTCAGTGCAAAAGGGACCATTTCTCTGAGCCTTCCATATCCTCGTGATGGCTCACCTGCATGCCCCTTTCTGGTGGAGCTTCCCTCTAGGCTAATCCTGATCCTCTGCTGCCCATTACCATCTGGGCACATGAGACAGGAAGTGTGTTGAAGGACGGTCTTTTGAGAGCCGGCCCAGCCTGCCGCAGCACCGGGCCACAGCTGCATCTGGCACGATCTCTGTTGGTGTAGGGCTGGGAGTCCCCATCCCGTCTGGACCTGGTTCAGCTCCAGTCCTCTGTTCCTGTACCCCACTAATAAACATATAAAACCCATAAAAAAAAAAAAGAAAGAAATGCTCAACATCCTTATTCATCAGGGAAATGCAAATCAAAATGACCCTGAGATTTCACCTTACACCCATCAGAATGGCTAAGATCAAGAACTCAAATGACAACACATGCTGGAGAGGATGTGGAGAAAGGGGATCCCTCCTCCATTGCAGGTAGGGATGTAAACTTGTACAACCACTTTGGAAAAACCAGTCACTTTCTCAGACAATTAGGAATAGTGCTACTTCAAGATCCAGCTATGCCACTCCTAGGCATATATCGAAAAGATACTCAAGTATACAACAAGGACATTTGCTCAACCATGTTTGTAACAGCCTTATTTGTAATAGCCAGAAGCTGGAAACAACCCAGACGTCCCTCAGTTGAGGAAAGGGTACAGAAATTGTGGTACATTTACACAATGGCATACTATTCAGCAATTAAAAACAAGGAAACCATGAAATTTGCAGGCAAATGGTGGAAACTAGAGATTATCCTAAGTGAGCTATCCCAGGAGCAGAAAGACACACATGGTATATACTCACCTATAAGTGGATATTAGACATATAATATAGGATAAACATATTAAAATCTGTACACCTAAGGAAGCTAATCAAGAAGGGGGACCCTGGATAAGATGCTCAATCTTCATTCAGAAAGGCAAAAATGGGATAGACATCAGAAGAGGAAGAACACAGGGAACAGGACAGGAGCCTACCACAGAGGGCCTCTGAAAAACTCTGCCCAGCAGTGTATCAAAGCAGATGCTGAGACTCATAGCTAAACTTTGGGCAAAGTGCAGGGAATCTTATGAAAGAAGGGAAAGATAGAAAGATCTGGAGGGATAAGGAGCTCCACAAGGAGAGAAAAAAAATCTGGGCCCAAGGGTCTTTTCTGAGACTGGTACTCCAACCAAGGATCATTCATGGAGATAACCTAGAACCCTTGCTCAGATGTAGCCCATGGCAGCTTAGTGTCCAAGTAGGTTCCCTAGTAAGGGGAACAAGGACTGTCTCTAATGTGAACTCAGTGGCCTGCTATTTAATCACCTCCCCCCGAGGTGGGTACAGCCTTACCAGGTCAGAGAAGAAGACAATGCAGCCAGGCCTGATGAGACCTGATAGACTAGGGTTAGATGGAAGGGGAGGAGGACCTCCCCTCTCAGTGGACTTGGGGAGGGGTATGGGAGGAGAGGAGAAAAGGAGGATGGGATTGGGAGGGGCTTAAGGAGGGAGCTACAGCTCAGATACAAAGTGAATAAACTGTAATTAATTAAACAATAAATAAAAAATTTAAAAATAGGAGAAAATGTAGTTTAATCTGTCAATAAGACTTCTCATCTGTAGAGCTGCCTCTCTGACAGGGATAGTCATCTTCTTTGGCTTCACATACATCAGAGATGACCACTGAGGGAGAAATAAAAGCAGCCTGTCCTGTCCAGCTTGGATCAGCTGGATTCACACTGGCAGGGCATTGAGTGATGTGTGGCACAGCTTTGAGGCCTTCAAATCACATAGATCATCATATTAGTGGAGATAAAGTAACAACAAGTACCATATGGCCTTGATGAAATCCAACAGCCAGGCTGAATCAAATCTTGAAATGATAGTCCTGAAACTTAAGAATATTTCCTACAGGCAAATGCAAGCTGAACAGCAATTCTGACATTCATTAGGGTCACCATAAGGCTGCAATATTAGTGCTATTATACAGCATTGTTTTTAAGGTTCTAGCCAGTGTTGTAAGATAGGAAAATGAACTGGTTTATTATTGGCTAGCGAAGATACACAGTCCTGTTCTCCTGAGATCGTTATGGTTAAGTACCTAGAAAACTAAAACATTGCTATAAAATTAAAATATTTTGGTAAGATATTGTATAAAATACTTAAAAATCAGTTGCTTTTATCCATATCATCAATAACAACTTGAAGTACAAAACTGAAAAACACCTAGTTTATAATAATAGAATCAAAACCATTTAATATCAAGAGAGCAAGAAAGCCATAGAGGTCATATGACGGAAATGCACACAAAAGACAGAGCAATAAAGCGTGAGTCTCAGAAAATCCTCCAGGCACCATTTTGACCTAACTGATGTATCCTATCTTTCCCTCACACCAACCTTACAATGAAGGCGTTGTTATGATTTTTTTCTGAAACCCACAGACATTTGTGAATTTGTCTTACATGACTAAGATCTCCAATGTATTCTTGGATGGGATACTTTAACATCATAAAACATCACTTTTCAAAAAAAGAGATGTATTTATTATATATACAGTACTTTGCCTGCATGTGTGCCTACAGGCCAGAAGCGGGCACCAGATCTCATTATAGATGGTTATGAGCCACATGTGGTTGCTGGGAATCGAGCTCAGGACCTCTAGAAGAACAGACAGTGCTCTTAACCTCTGAGCCTACCAGGCCACAGAGGAAGACAATGCAATCAGTCCTGATGAGACCTGATAGGCTAGGGTCAGATGGAAGGGGAGGAGGATCACCCCTATCAGAGGACTAGGGGAGGGTAATGGTAGGGGGGAAGAGGTAGGGAGGGTGGGACCTGGGGGAGATGAGGGAGGAGGATATATAGCTGGGATACAAAGTAAATAAATTTTAATAAAAAATACATAAATTAAAAAAAAAGAAAAAAATCACTTTCCAAAACAAATATTTGGGACAATCTCATTTATTTTAAACCAGGTTTTGTAGAGGTTAAATGTCTGAGAAAACCAAATCTATTATTCAATAAAACATGATGGTGAATTACTAAATAGTTCTTACTCTATTCTTTTACTTCAGTTAAGTATGCTGATTCTGATAATTGACTGTTACCCTGGCAGAAAACAGTAAGATCTTTTGATAGCAGATACAATAGTAAGTTCAAGAGCCTTACAGATATTGAATGAACAATTAGCAGTTTTCCAAAAATAATTTGTATAAACATGTGGTGTGGAAGCCTTTCCTGACACAAGAAAACCCATGGCCATAAGGAACGTATAAGGAGTTGTTAGTATTTACCATAAAATTCAAGCAACATGTTATCTTAAAGGAAAGTGCTTGTAACACTCCTTCTTCCCAAGAGTCTGGCACCTTATAGAGAGAAAGAGCAGCTAATGGACAGGCAGATAATACTGTGAAGAAGGGTCCCTGCTGAGGATCCAGTGACCAGGAAACAAAAGGGAGGATCTTCAGGTGGTTGGTTCAAAAGTACAAATGAATACAACTGTGAGATAACGTTTCTCATTTATGACAAAGCTGATAGAAGTAGAGGTGTGGATTAAATGTCGCCTCATCTCGCTGAGTTGAACCAGTGGTGTTCTTGGAAAGTAGCCGTGCAGTCCATACCCTGATAGAAGGTGTATGGAGTTTTTACCCTACAGCTCTGCTCTGCCCAGTTATCCTGCAGACAGAAAAGCATAGTGCAGGTGGGACAAACTACTTAGAAATACAATGGAGTATTACTCAGCAATGAAAAATAAGGAAATCATGAAATTTGCAGGTAAATGGTGGGACCTGGAAAGGATCATCCTGAGTGAGTTGTCCCAAAAGCAAAAAGACACGCATGGTATATACTCACTCATATAAACATACAACATAGAATAAACCCACTAAAATCTGTACATCTAAACAGACTAAGCAAAAGAGAGGACCCTGACTAAAATGTTCAATCCCCATCCTGAAAGGCAAAGAGGATGGACATCAGAAGAAAAAGAAAATAGGAAACAACCTCGGAACCTGCTACAGAGGGCCTCTGAAAGCCAGAAGAAAACAGGAAACAACCTTGAAACCTGCCACAGAGGGCCTCTGAAAGCTTCTGCAGTATAGACTGTCAAAGCAGATGCTGAGCCTGATGGCCAACTGATGGGCAGAGTGAATGGAATTTTAAGAAGTGGGAAATATTAAGAGCTGGAGGGGACGGGAACTCCACAAGCAGAACAACAGAACAAGATAATTTGAACACAGGGAACTTCCCAGAGACTCATACTCCAACCAAGGACTATTCGTGGAGATGACCTGGAACCCCTGCACAGGTGTAGCCCATGGCAGTTCACTGTCCAAGTGGGTTACATAGTAATGGGAAGAGGGACTGCCTCTGACATAATCTGATTGGCCTGCTCGTTGATCACTTCCCCCTGAGGGGGGAGCAGCCTTACCAGGCCACAGTAGAGGACAATGCAGCCACTTTTGATGAGAACTGATAGACTAAGATCAGAAAGAAGAGGAGAACCTCCCCTATCAGTGGACTTGGGGAGTGGCATGCATGCAGAAAGGGGAGGGAGGGCGGGATCGGGAGGGGAGGAGGGAGGGGCTTATGGGGGGATACAAAATGAATAAAGTGTAATTAATAAAAAAAATAAACAAGATGTTAATAACAACAACAACAACAAAAAAAGAAATAGCTTGAGTCTTTATTTATAGGTTTTAAAATTGTGATGTATAAGACTTAGAGAAATTGAGCTGGACTGACCTGAAAGCCTTCTCCCAAGGACCAGCTCTCGTAGTATTCAAAGGTCATGTTTGGCTTCATAGTGAGTTTGAGACCAACCTGGGCCTCATGAGAGCATGTCTAAAAAAAAAACCCAAAGGGGAAAGCCCAGCTGTAAACACTGGGGCCATGTCAATGGGCAGTCTGTGGTTTTGGATGATGAGTTAGTTTTCTCTCTCGGCCTAAGCTCCTCAAATGTGAGTGGAGATAGTTCTTTCTCACTGACCTATTTCACATTGTTAAAGGAGTAATAAGATGCACCTAGTTCATAAATATTATATTCTTTATTATAGTTAGTCAGTTTAGCAAATACTGATCAAATACCTTCTAGGTATCAGTGATGGAAAGAGGCATATTATTGAGCATCTATTATTACTTAGTTTTCATTATATAGTAATGAATAAGTGAATAATGGGTAAAACAGAGTCCTACCTCTTAATGGCTATAATTTTATTATTGACTGTTGCTTATTAAGGTTCAAGGCTGACCTTACTAACACTAAATTTTTGTGCATTTTACTTTTAAATTTAGGACATCCTGTATTATGAGCAGCTTAAGACCAATGTGATACAGCATGATCTTTTGGTGGACAGTCTAATTTATAAAGTAAGTAAAAGTATCCATGGTTTTTCCATTTCATTAACAACATTTGAAATAGAATTTTCTCTGTGGAGGGCTTGAACTGTGAGTAAAAGTACATATCAAACTTGAAAAATAGTTTGATTGGCTCCATGTGTTAGAGGGCATCCGTGATGCTTTGTACCATGAAAGCAGGAGGAGAATCAAGAGTTCAAGGTCATGCTTGGCTTCATAGTGAGTTTGAGGCCAACCTGCGCCTAATAAAACCCTGTCTAAAAAAAAAAAAGGCATAGGAGGGAGAGTGATGGTTCTCCCTGTGAGGTTGAGGCTGGTTTTCGAGCCTGGGGTCTGCGCAGAGCTGTCTTCTTCTTTAGGGAGTTGTTCTTGTGTCCTTTTCCCAGTGCCTCCATGTTATCATGAGAGAAAGAAAATTGGCCATCTTAAATTTGAGTCCTCTTTTATAGATAATGGAAGAGTAACCAAAAAAGTAACACAAGAATATGGAATTTTAATCTTGTTGTCTCATGATTGTTTAGAGGCTCTATTGTATAGTTTTTGTAACAGAGCTATTTTAAATATTTTTAATTGTATGTATGTGTCTCATGTGGGGTTGTATGCACATGAGTGTGGGTGCCCTGGAACTAGAGTTATAGGTAGTTGTGAGCTGTCTGGAGTAAGAAAAGTTCAGTTTTCTGCAAGAGCAGTATTGAACTTGACCATCGAACCATCTCTCCAGACATATTGAAACACATTTTTAAAATTATATGGATATACATTATTTAGCAGATATGCAGTGACACCCAACCTAACTCAGTTCTCTGTGTCCTCTCTCTTACTACAGTTGTCATTTTCTCTGTACTCTAGGAGTAAAGTGATCTTCAGGCTCCCTAGTTGCCAGGAGCCTTGCTGGGGCAGTAGGGGCAGTAGGTGGGTATGCATCATGAACTTACACTGACGTACTACAGATAGGTCTCAGGATGCAACACACTGCAGATACATGTCATGCGTCATCAAACGGGCTTGGGAGTGTTAAGAGGAAAAGCAGAGTGAGTTTAAGGGCAGTGACTGAGAAGCAAGAGAGGATGGAGGTAGACCGCTATACAGCTGGCAGCTTTGTGACCGCTGCAGCCACAGACATCTCTCCAGGGATTCCTCTGGCCCTAGGTAGGCGTGTCACATTCTCCCAGGAGCCCCCACCCCTGCCCCAGAATGGAAAGCAGTAGAGCTGAGGGAGAGGAGAGGCTTCCTGAGCACACATGCGTCTGTCTCTTCTCAGCACAAGTCCTGTGCTGAAAGGGGGAGGGCTGGCTTTCAGGCGGTTCAGGGGTCAGTGACTGCGCTGTGCACCAGCGGAAGTGCGAGACCGTGAAGGCCTGCCCTCATTTTTGTTGGAGGAATGATAATCAACTTTCCTTTGTACCCGGGGATAAATGCTAAATCTCGATTCCCTGCTGTGGTACTGTCAGCTACGCTAGAGACACCAGTGCTCTGAGCAGCTCCTTTCACAGAGGCGAGGACCTTGCTCCGGCCAGGCTGTGGGGTGGGGGCACCACAGGCTTAGGATACAGTGCAGTAATAAGGACTAGCTTTGCTGCTCCGCTGTATTATGCCGCTGTAATATATAAGTTCTCATTTTCACCCCCAAGAATCAGTTTGGGGTCAGAGTATCTCTTGCGGAGAATGTACGACTTTCACCTTTGCCCATGGGACCTCTGAGTCAGATGAATGATACTTTCTTTTTCTGAACTCTGTAGTGTCAGGTTTTCTCCAGAGCTATTCATGACTTGTGCTATCAATCTCTTGATTCCTGTTTGGATCAGGTGCTTAGTTGAATGTTATAGGCTATTTAAGCTATACAGTCATGGATCGTTACAATCCAATGTGATTTTTCTCATATTACTACACATATGTTCTTGCCATTGATGTGGTAGATTGATTCTCTTTATTTTCTAAGACTTATGTATATTGATGTTTTTGTCTGGATGTACATCTGCATACCAGAAGAGGGCAACAGATCCCATGAGGCTATAGTTATAGATGGTTGTGAGCCACCATGGGTGGACACTGGGAATTGAACTCAGGACCTCTGGAATAGTAGCTCTTAACCACTGAATTATTTCTCCAGCTGATATAGTAGATGTTTTTTTCCCCCACAAGACAGGGTTTCTCTGTAGCCTTGGTTGCCCTGGAACTTACTCTCTAGACTAGGCTAGCTTCAAACTCAGAGATCTACCGGTCTCTGCCTCCTGAGTGCTGGGATTAAAGGTGGATGCCACCACACCCAGCTTATGGTAGACTTCTTGAAGGTAAACATCGTCTTCATTTTCTTTGTTTGTGTTTTGATTTTGGTGTACTTTGTCCTGATCAACCAAACCGTACTTGTTGAATTGATTATATGGTGGGTTCAAAAGTATCACCATCCTTTGGGTGCAGAGGTTTAGCTTATCTATTTAAGTTTAGACCTGAAGGGCTTTTGGTCAGAGTTTTCTGAGTGCTACCTCAGAATCTGCTACCATCAGAAGCATTTATCATATCTTTTGAAGTAGTTAGTGTTCTACCCATCTACAGACCTGGAGACTCAGCTTTCTGTCATTGCGGTGACATAGAATATGAGAGACTAACATTTAAGAAGGAAAGGTTTACTTCTCTGTAGAGTTCAGAAGTCTCAGTTCATGGCTATGGAGTCTTATTGCTTTTTGATCTGGTAAGTCAGTATCCCATAGCAGGAGTCAAGGTAGAGCAAAGCCACTTGCCTCATGGCAGCTAGAGACAGAAAGTTTCCAGGGCCCATGTCCCCTTCAGACAAACCTCTCAGTAACTGGACTTCTCTCACTGAGTGCAAGCACCTTAAGCTCCCGCACTTTTCAAGAGCACATAAAGTGGGTGATCGGGCCTTTAACATACAGGCCTTTAGGGGTCACTTATCAAAGCACAGAGATCTCCATGGGAAGTTACTAGCCAAGGTTATGCAGCTAGAAGTAGCATAACTGAATTAAACTCTGAGATCTGATAAAATGGCTGTGTTCTCCATACTGAAGCACAAGTTGAGCGCGTTCAAGCCACCATAGAAACTGCTCAGAGACAGGGGAGAGCAGGAATGTTTACTTTATTCTTTTAGCTTTATTCATTTGCTATTGGAGAGGTCACCTATGTAATGATACAGTGCAGTGCATCACAGAGAACTACAATTCATTTCTGTTAATTTTACCATTTGAATTTTTCATCAAACATGTTGGACCTTAGGTGTCAGACCTTGTGCTGAAGAGAGCCCAAAGTTTCATTGGGAGAGTAGAATTTTTTTAAGCAGTCTCTGATCAGGAAGTACACATAGAAGTACCTAAAGAAAGGACCAATATTCTACCCAGGGGTTGTCATCACCAACTAGCCCTGAAGGATGAGTTCATGTGGCAGAAAATCAGAGTTATTAGTTATTAGAGCAGGTGGTGATTTCCAGGTAACCAGTGACATGCGCATAGGAAAATAGTTGATATTTTGAGGGAATGGCTCAGTGTGTTAGATGTGAACGGTGAAGATGGAATACAGTCTGGGAGAGAGTGTTGTGCTTGCTGCTAGGGGTTGTGATTCTGTTTGGTTGTTGTTGTTTTTTTTTCCCACAGCTTTAAGGCATCTAAAAGGAGATTAACCGAAATAAATGATAAAGGGTTATTAATGAAACCTTAAGGAATTAGAAATCAAATAATGGGATACACATTTTAGCGGAATAAATATGTAATGAGGATAACATCTGACTAGAAAATTTCTATAATATTACATAAAATATAAAATTCATTGCAATATTATTTCCAAATGTTGCATAGAATTATAGGTAGATTCATTTGAGTAATTTTCCATGCTTTGTAACTTTTAATTATAGGATGTGAAGCTGACAGCAAGCAATGATGATTACTATTTTGTATTTGAAGATTATTTATATCAGGTAAGTTAAAAAAATTTCCAGTATCCTTGTTTTAGGTTCTTTAAGTTATACTACTTGAAATATACTTTAGAGTTAATGAAATTCTCTGGATTCCCAAATGGGTTTCTGGGCTTCCTTTTTCTGGTTATATATGCTGCAGCCAGATGTGCTAGCAGGTCAGCTCTCTATCACCTTTGTTGGCACAAATTCTAAAACTGCATGTCAGCTTAATACTCAAGCAATCCCACGATATTTAGATAATGCGTTTTACATGATACTCTCTTTTAGATTACAAAAAAAATAATTAATTGTTTTAAAATCAGTGTGGAGAATCATGATTATTCTGATCATTTTGACAGATACAAATCTCAAAACATCCATTAGAAATATTTCAAAGTACAGGGCAAATGAGACACGGGAGTTTGGGGTGTATAGAATCAAGGTACATTGTGTACACATATAAAATTGTCAAAGAACAAATATTTTTTTAAAAGTAAGTATGTCAAAGAACTAAAAGAAACCTTTCATAAATAATAAGTAAAGGAAGGTATGATGACTTATGTCATCAAGTAGAGAAGGTCAATAAATAGATAGAAATAAAAAAAGATAAATTCTGTAGTTGAGAAATAACTGAAATAAAAAAATTCACTGATGGCTACTGATTTGGAAAATCAGTAGATAATCGGTGAGGACAGATCAATAGCTAAGTGAACAGAGCTTGCTTTCCTTATCCAGACGTTGAGTCTTTAGTATATTAATAACCCTAGCTGGCTGAGCTTTCCCCAGAATCACTGAGTTCTAGATTTCCTTCTCCTATGGCTTAGTTCCTAATATTGTGGATCTTTTCCTGATCTGATTTCTAGGGAATATTGAATAGTTAATGTTATACAAGTACAGATACAATTTGAACCCAAACCCCTGAAACATCCAAATTTCTCTGCTTTTTAAAAAAAAATGCTTCTTTCTATGCTGTTTTAATTACATACACAAAACTGTTATAATAGGGTCAGGGCAATAGTTCTCTGAAAGTGCCTGGCAGGCAAGCTCAGGGACTAGAGTTGATATCCCTAAAACCCAAGGAAATGCACTGGGCATGTGGTCTGCCAGTAATTCCAACGCTTATAAGGCACAGGTAGGAGATCGCTGGAATAAACTGATGTATTTTTAGCTCTGGGGTCAAGTGAGAGACCCTGCCTCAATGAATAAGGTAAAGAGCAATCAAGAAAGACTGTGAAATCAACCTTGGCTCTCTATACACATATGTACGTGCACACACATGCAAACACATATGTACATGTCCACATATACACACCCACATCCATCTATGCAATGCATGCATGCATACCGTACCACATTTTAAAAAACTGTTACAAAACCAAACTTGGCCAACATACAGGTGTATTAAAAAGAGCCAACGATGACATGATTTGTAGTCTCTGACTATTGTACTGTAGTGTGTGGTTACAGAGAGTGTAAATTTGACAGGTTTATCTCATTTGGTGAATGGAGAGAAACTGTCATTTTCAGTTGCAACTGTAAAATCTCTTGGTGGTGCTAACAAGAGCTTTCGAGGTGACAAATGCACCTCACTTGCTGAACAGTCAGCGAGCAAGAGTTACAGCTTCTGCCGTTAATGCCAGAAGTAACCCATAGTGCATCTTCATGTCCCCACATACGTCACTTATATGCAAAGAAACTTGAAAGTGAGCAAGTCAGACAGCAGAATCATTTTCAAACAGTGGATGCCTTTTCTGAGGAAAAGCAGAATGATCTTCAGGAAATCCTTCTGATCACCACAGTGTATAAACTGTAGGTTCTTTGATGGGCACAGTGTAAGAGAGGAGCAGGACTGTGCAGTATCTTTGGCAGTTGTTGTCGACTGCTTACGTAAAGCATCCGCATTCAACACCGAGTACCTGACATGTATGGTTTAATCTCAGCTTCCCAGTTTAATCAATATTTCAGTTAAAATTCCATTCTTTTTAGATTTTACATATTTTTCCAGTCATGTCTCATGACTACTATTGCTGCTTTTAATCTTTAAAAAAACACTAAATAAAATTATTACATAATAATTATTAATTATATGCACTGCACAGCATGTATCATGAATTTATGATAACTTTTGCATGACTGAAATGTTATGATATTGAATATCAATTTCCTCTGTGCCCTTCCTCCCAGACTCTGGCAACCATCATTCTAATCTCCGCTGCTATGCATTTGACTGTTTAGAAATCTCAAACCAATATGACCTTCCATCTTTGTCTGTCTGTGACAGGCTTATCCCAGTTAGTTGTATCCTCCATGCTCACTGTCTGTCTCACGTAGCAAGATGTCCTTATTTATTTTTTATTAATTACACTTTATTCACTTTGTATCCCCCCTGTAATTTCCTCCCTCCTCCCCTCCCAACCCTTTCCTTCCTCTACCCTCTGCATGCATGCCCCTTCCAAGTCCACTGGTAGGGGAGGACTTCTTTTCCTTCCTTCTGATCCTAGTCTGTCAGGTCTCATCAGGAGTGGCTGCATTGTCTTCCTCTGTGGCTTGGTAAGGCTGCTTCTCCCTCAGGGGGAAGTACTTAAAAAGCAGGCCAATGAGTTCATGTCAGAGCCAGTCCCTGTTCCTATTACTATGGAACCCACTAGGAACTGAACTGCCGTGGGCTACATCTGTGCAGGGGTCTTAGGTTATCTCCATGCATGCTACTTGGTTTGACTATCTGTCTCAGGGAAAACTCATGTGCCCAGATTTTTGTTGCTCTCCTTGTGGAGTTCCTGGTCCCTTCCAGGTCTTACTAACTCCCATTTCTTTCATAAGATTCCATGCACTCTGCCTAACAGTTGGCCATAAGTCTTAGCATCTGCTTTGATAGTCTGCAGGGCAGAGCCTTTCAGAGGCCCTCTGTGGCAGGCTCCTAACTTGTTCCCTGTTTTCTTCTTCTTCTGATATCCATCCTCTTTTCCTTTCTGGATGGGGATTGAGCATTTTAGCCAGAGTTCTCCTTCTTGATTTGTTTCTTTAGGTGTACAGATTTTAGTAGGTTTATCCTGTATTATACGTCTATATGAGTGAGTATGTATCGTGTGTGTCTTTCTGCTTCTGGGATAGCTCACTCAGGATGATCTTCTCTAGTTCCCACTATTTACCTGCAAATTTCATGATTTCTTTGTTTTTTATTGCTGAGTAGTATTCCACTGTGTAGATGAACCATACTTTCTGTATCCATTCCTCAGTTGAGGGGCTATTGGATGTTTCCAGCTTCTGGCTATTACAAATAAAGCTGCTACAAACATGGTTGAGCAAATATCCTTATTGTGTACTTGAGCCTCTTTTGGATATATGCCTAGGAGTGGTATGGCTGGATCTTGGAGGATGTCCTTCTTTTAAAAGACTAAATATTATTCTTCTGTGTATATATATTGTTTTCTTTAGTCATTTTTCTAAATAAGCTGCAGTGTGGATCTTTATCCTAATTGCATAAAGACAGGATAATTTGAGGAATTACTCAATTCTGTTTTTCATGGTTATTAATAAATACTTTTTATGATGATATTTTAAAGTTATTTTATAATTAGTGATTATTTCAAGCTTTATAAGCAAATCAATATACTTGCAAATGATGTGATTTTATATATAAAAGACCCCAAAAACTTCACCAGGAAACACGTTTTTAGCAAAGTAACAGGATACAAAATTAACACACAAAAAATCAGTAGCCTTTCTATATAGAAAGGACAAAAAGAAATCAGGGAAACAGCACCTTTCACAGTAACCCAAAACAACAGCAACAGCAACAACAAAACCCTTGTAATAACACTTAACAAGTACATAAAAGACTTGTATAGGAATAATGTGTCCCTTTAAAAATAATAACCTCAAAGCATTTGTGAATTCTAAAGTTGCTTACACTTGGTCAAATATTATCTACATGCAAAAAAATAAATAGTTCGGAGGGCTGGTAAACAGTCATATAACTCCTAAAAAAACGACTAAGGATTTAGTGGAACGTGTATGGTGTTGCTGTGGACCACATTTGTTTTTCTTTATTGTTTAAATTTTCTAAAAATTTATCTATCTATCTATCTATCTGTCTGTCTGTCTGTCTATCTATCTATTGCAATCTTTTCACTTTGTTCCCTGGCTATAGCCCCTTTCCTCATCTCCTCCTAGTCCTACCCTCCCTCTCTTGTCTCCTCCTATGCCCCTTCCGTAGTCCACTGGTAGGGGAGGTCCTCCTCCCTTTCTATCTGACTCTAGCCTATAAGGTCTCATCAGGACTGGCTGCATCATCTTCCTCTGTGGCCTGGCAAGGCTGCACCCACCAGGGGGAGGTGACCAAAGAGCCACCTTTGAACCAAAGAGTTCATGTCAGAGATAACCACTCTCCTCTTTACTAGGGAACCCACTTGGGAACTGAGCAGCCTATGGGCTTTCTCTGAGAAGGGGGTCTATTTCCAGAACTTTTCGATTTCTTCAAGTGTTTTCATGACATTGGTATCCTTTTCTAGTTGCTTTGAAATATATTCTAGAGAATTTTCATCAAGATTTACTCTATTGTGCTGTAGAAAACCAGAGTCAATTCTTCTTCCATGTGTGTGGGCTTACTCTACAATCATGTTTTATCCCTTCCTCACCCTGGTGTCTCTAATTTCATATAGGTTATTTATATATTTAACATGCAATGCTATCACAATGTATCATTAACTAGTTCAAAATCAAACTATTCTCAAAGATAATTAAACTTTTCTCTAATTATTTTTCACAATGCGTTTTTACCTCAGGGACTCCTCTGTCAGCTCAAGGTCACGGTATGCATAAATTAGGTGAAAATATGTACCCATTGACTTTTATTTATATATTGCCTGATGAATTCAGACATCTTCCTGAAATAAACGGCTGTATTATGGATGACTAAAAAAAAAATAATAACAACAACAACCAACAAAACAAAAAAAGACTTGTATAAATAAAAACTTTAAGACACTGAAGAAAAAAACAAATGAAGGAAACACCAGAAG